CAAAAGTATGTTGCAGTAAAAATATCTGTAAGCACACTGTTTCTCAAGGTGGCGATATTATGGACCCTGGTGATATTATGGACATGGATGTTACACAATCATCAGAAATTCTTTTGAGAAAAAGCAACATTTGGATCAATACTGTCTGCTGGTGAAGTGCCTGTTACTTAGTTACATAGTAGCAACTCTTAACCACCACATGAGAGTTTTCTGTTCCCCCTGTCCGCCATTATGCCCTTGGGATGACCTTGAGCTGGATTCCGTTCTTGGCCTTCATGACGATTTCTGCCAACTTCTCTACTGGGTGGTCAGGAACGACCTCCAACTTGAACCTGAAGGTCAGACAATGTCGTGAGTAATATAACATCTGTGTCCATAATATCACCAGGGTCCATAATATCGCCACCATGAGAAATAGTGTGCTTTAAGATATTTTTACTGCAACATACTTTTGGTATGCACTCCTTCACACATCAAATGTACATACCTAGGGTATGTTGCAGTAAAAATATCTTTAAGCACACTATTTCTCAAGGTGGCGATATTATGGACCCTGGTGATATTATGGACACAGATGTTACACACAGATATGAACCTAAAACTGAACATATCAACATTGATAAAGATTGGTGCACATTCGCAGGGGTGCCAGAGTATACAGTGCAATGTTATGGAATACAGTGCAATTTTATGGAATACAGTACAATTTTATGGAATACAATGCAATTCTACAGAATACAGTGTGATTGTATTAGTATACAGTGCAATTTTACTAGTAAATACCATTGTAATTTTACTACTAATACCATTGTACTGTATTCCGTAAAATTGCACCTGTCAGTATACTAGTGAAATTGCATTGTATTCCCTAAAATTTCACTGTATACTCTGGCACCCCTGATTATGCAGATTGGGACTCCAATAATGAAAAGTTGACCCTTACTTGTGGATGATTCTGGATACCAAGACTTTCTCTTCATTCATAGCAAAGTTCTGCCCGATGCAGTTTCTGTGGAAATGGGACAAAAATTAAGATTGATATTTATCATTAAAATCTCTGGGAAACATACTATGTATAATGCAACATGAGACATGATGGTGTATAGAAACAGATTACAGATATTTCTATAAAAAGTATATGATTATGATATAAGAATGACTTAATGTGATCATCTTCAGCATTTAATATGCAACATTTGTGTCCCCTGCATCAGAAAATGATTGGTCAGACCTACTGGTAATTGATTAACATGTCAGGGAACCATACACATGCAAACATGCACAAAGATGCCTGCTTAAATTTCCCAGTACTTAAAGCTAAGAAATGTGTTCTCACCTTGGTCCAGCAGAGAATGGGATGAAGGCATAGGGGTCTTTCTCCTTCATGTTTTCTGGTAAGAACCGGCTTGGGTCATACTCCTGGAGAAAGAAATAATTTAAATATCATTCTCGCAATTAATGAGAAACAAGGGTAATGGTGACCTCCGTATTGTAATCAGTTATGAATTTTGTGTTCATTGGTAAAATGTGCAGGATGATGCACATGATTATTTTTTACACTGTAGCAGATTATCTAGGTAAGGTAATATTTCATGCCTTCTGAGCTGACAATTTGGAAAAAAAAACATTCACCTACCATGTGGTTGTCCCCCCACACATCTGGATTGTGGTGAATGTTCCATATGTTCACATCAACAATAGTCCCCTCTGGGAGGACCTTTCCCTCCACTTCTATGGGAGCTGAGATCTGTCTGCCAATAATCGGGATGGGACAGTGGAGTCTCATGGCTTCCTTGATACACAGTGTTAAATACTTCAGTTTGGGTAAGTCCTCCCTAATGGCAGAAAAATTACAATGTTAACAGATTCCCTCAAAAATAAAAATAAAGACTGCTGCTCCAATAAGTCTGCAATGGTGGCTACAATAATAACAGTAAAAATCAAATACAAAAGAACTTATTGATCTCTGTAATAATATTAAGCTTCTTTCTTAGTCTCAATGAATTATAGAAATTGTATATGACTATTTGAAAAATTACTGTGTATGAATATGAGGAAAGTTCCTATAATCCTAAATACAACATCTAGCAAAGGGGATTCATTCTTCAAGCTAACTGACATCTTGCACATGCAGTCGTTCCTCAGTAAGACATCTGGAGCCACCTTTTTCCCATTCAGAACTTTTATTCAGCCTGTCACAACCGGTTAGCTTGAGGACTGAATCCCCTCTACTATATACTAAAGTTCCTACATTAATGAGACAAGTTAGAAACCACAGATTTTCTAAAAGATTCTTGTTTTGCTTTCAGACCTACCATTCCAGACAAGCCGGTTCTCTTCCTCCCAGAATGCCCTGTACTTCCTGGTACACCCTCTCCTGGTGTTCAGGGTGGGTCGCGAGGGAGTACAGGACCCAGGAGGTGGTGCTGGCCGTCGTGTCATGGCCTGCAACAGCATACATGTTTGTTATGTTTACCTTCGCGAGGGGAAAATATATTGTTTTTGCTCTGTTTCTTCTTCCTCTTCTTCTTCTCCAAACAAATAAGGTCAGGACCAGACGTCTGTCACCATGGTAACTGGTGTTAGGTTACATAATGTTTTTTTGTTTACATAATTTTTCTTGTTCATCTAAAGTTTCTTACTTTTGGTATTCTGTATCAGCAATTCTTTCTCTTTATAGGATATGTCATCACAAAATGAAATTCATCTCCGATATCTTCAATATCCTTAGAAAAAGTTGACGTTGTCTCATTCTTTGCAAGTGAAATAAGTAACAACAAACTGTTATAGGTACTGAGATGACAGAAAGTTATCCAGAATCTACAGTACTGCACCTGCAAACATGAAAGTGTTGACTTGATTTCTTATTTCAACATCGCTTAAGGTGTTTCCATCCTCGTCTTGAGCATGTAGAAGAATGTCCAGGAAATCCAGATGTTTTCTTCCGGATTCAGCCATTTCCTTGCTCCCAGCTTCTTTAGAACCCTCCTGTTGGAACGAAAAAACATTATTTATGAGTTTGATTGGTGTCATGTGGCGTAATGGCAGAGTGCTCGACTCGGAACCAAGAGGTCCAGGGTTCGAGTCCTGACATCGATCTTGTGCCCCTGGGAAAGGCACTTAACACGACTTTCCTCACTGAACTCAAGTGAAAATGAGTATTGTCTTTCCTGTATTTGTTTCTATGTGTGAGACACAACACCAGTAACAGCTGCCTGTGTCTGACATGTATTGTATTGCTACAATTTCAACAAATTCAAATCACTGACTGGTGAAATGTAAATGTTCTGAAGAACACACCAGGGTTTCTCTTCTCTTGGCGATGATGTCATCCGCCAGTTGATGCACGTATGCACAGAGCTTCTTAAAGTCTCGTCCCTCCTTAGTCAGGTAGAAAATAAAGTCTGGGTACAGATACGGTCTCCTGAAACACAACAGTCAAAATCTTTAGACAGTTTACAATATGCATCCACAGTGGTACTTATTTATTTTATTTATTTATTTATTACGATTGACCACATACATAATATACATGGAGGGCATGGTGGAACAGGTGCACCTAAGTGCACCTTTTCAAGGCCACCATGCCCACCTTGGGATATAAAATATCACATTTCATTTAAGTAAAGGTAGGTACAGTACATGAATGTCGGGAATTCCTTTTAAGTTACTATGTCAGCAGCTATATGTTACAAATGTTGTTTTGCTAGGTTTGGAGGACTTTAAATTGTACTTATTAAAAAAATCCTTTAGCACACTGAAGCAGCTACATGTACTTGGCTACAGGCATTAGGAAGAAGGTTTACCTAGTAAGATACCAACATGAAATTCAACACCAATATGAACCAAGAACTTACAGCGAATGTAATGAAAACTGTATCTGCATTACTTACACAGCTCTGTAGAAAATAATGCGCATCAGGTCCTTGATAGCTGCCACATAGGGGTGGTTTGCCCTGTAACAAAAAACATTGCAAGTTGGCTACATTCAAATCAATCTATTAACAAATTGCATAGCACTACCATCATCCCTTAAAAAAAATACAGATGTATCAGAAACCAGATGAACATATGGTCAGGTATTCAAAATCTTGAACGATACATAACTTGTAGTACAATTTGGCTTTAAAATAAAACTGTATGTGGGCTACACAATAATAGCAGGAAATGCTCACCCCTTGGTCTGTATGTCATCTTGGTAAGAGAAAGCACATCTGAGGATGATGTCCAGCGTACACAGACTCAGGACACTGAAGCTCTCAAAACTTTCTCCAGACTTGGCGCATTTCTCCAGTTTTTCCTGAAAGAAGGTCAATCTGTTAGAGCACTGACATGCTAGCCCATCAAACATGTTGAGAACTTGAACGTGTGTGTTCTTTTCTGTTGTTGAATGCTTCTTTCCGCTACATACATTGCAAAAATAGGTAAATACATAAAAGACTGTTTTGTTATTAGAAAAAATGCCAAAACTGATTAGCCCTACTTAATTGTAATTATATTATCTCTTGATGTTTAGTAATTAGTTCATTCTATACCCTTTTCTTTTATACTTATAATGTTCAGTAGTCTTTGCTGTACCCTGTACATTTGTCGTGCAATACGTTCTTCTTCATCTAACACATGTCTATGTGTTTTCAACTTTGATTGGCTGATTATTAATTAATAAATATGTTAAAGCTACTTACCAGTAAGATATCAGCACCCTTGTTATACACAGCAACATACGGCTTCAACACCTCGAAGTGGAAGGCTGGAGTCAGCAGTCGCCGGTCACGTGACCAGTGAGCACCCTTAGACAGTACTAGCCCATCACCTGCAAGCAAGGTAAGGTCTGATCATCTACATGTATGTCTGTATTGTATAGCCTTTTGCCTGCACAGAGGCAAACTGGTCCTTCTATAGCTGGCCAATAATAGCATGTCGGCAGAATGCATGCGCAAACCCTGATTTTTTTTTACGATTTTTGTTGGATTTTTGGTTAACGTTGTATCAGAATTTTACCTATTGCAGACGATATCTTTTCCTACATAACTCTTGGAAACTACAGACAGGATGTTAACCTTATACATGCAAATACGATCTTATATGAGACTTTCTGCTGAAGTTCTCTAGATCTGCACAATACATAGTATACATGTTTCGCACAGGTACAGTAAGTTCTGTCAACGTGCTGCCAATTATATCTGTTTTAGGCCAATTTCTATACTACTTATTCAGCCTACAAAGGAGTCTCAGGTAGAGACTAACTAAAACACCTCTGTTGTACGGCACAGTAACACCAAAGTAAGCAAGATTCTATCCCCTGTACAGATGATGTGGCAAGGATATGAGAATTTGCAGAGTGTGTACATAGAAGAAGTGAAGTTTTAAGTGTCTCACCTAACCATGGGATGATCAGGTCATATCCTGCACCTCCTGGCTTGGGATCTTTCGAGGAACAAGAAACAAGAACATGCAGTCTGTTAGACTCTATATCTCTGCATATAAGACAGCTGTATCCTTTCTACACTTGCTGCAAATTACTACAGTCAAACCTGTACAAGTGAACTCTCTTTCTGTATAAGGACCACCTAGTAAAAGTGACAGCCTTTAGTGGGCTTTTTACTTGTACTTGTACTTGAGTAGGTCTCCTCATCTCTGTGAGTGGCCTGCGTCAAAGTCGTCCCTAGTGGGCCTTTACTAGTAGATAATTTTTCTCATCAATACAAGCATTAAGATGGAACTGTCTATAGTGACCACCTGTCTACATAGACCAGATTTTATGGGCCCTTGACTGGTCTTCTTGGGCAGTTTTGAGTGTAATAGAAATTGAGGGATGTTGGAAGACAACAATAGCTAGAACGAAGCACAATTTTTCAAGTCATGAGCTCTCTAACTAGAATGGCTTGATAGATGGCAAAATCTTTTTTAAAAAATCACATCAAAAAAGCGCAAAACACATTCTCATGTACACAATGCAAAAACAAATGTTGCTTCTTCACCTGACTTTCTGAGTATCTGTTTAGCAGTGTCAGGATGTACTACTGTCAGACATGGTCTAACTGGTCCCCACCACAGGCGGAAAGCCTTGCCATACTTTTCAGCAAACTCCAGAGCCTGGAACAGTCCCTTCTGCTTTGGCAGGTCATACTGTGGATACAGGTAAGACATTTTTTTTATTTATTTATTAATCTCAAGATGGCTGGGTAACCCCATACAGCCTACACTTGCTGTTTTCCAAGGGGACCCAGCTTGTTACAGGACAAATGTTAACGTTACATACAGTAGAACAAGGACAACATACAGTAAAAACATTTTAAAAAAACATGTAAGTCCAATGCGTCGAAAACAAAACCATAATCCAATACTCAATGTCCTAGCCGGTCCATGGTCAAAACATAATGACGGGTGAGAAAAGATTGTGTGAATGGTTTACCTACACATATCTTGAACAGGTAGGAAGAAAGAAGGGTAGGCAATAGAAAAGGTACCACTGGATACTAGTATCAGAGAATTTACATTCATTACACTATCAAATGTTAAGATGAATAAAGAATCAAGAAGGATGGAGAAAACTGGTTGTCAGATGTTTGTGGTGTGCCAACGGTAAATGAGAAAGAACTAAAATTTCCACTACAATGTATTACTGTATTTACTATACTATTTATGTATTAGGAAGCGAGAGGAAGTCGAACGTACTAGAGTATACTAGAAGTTTACATATACACGTTTAGGCCACACCAATTTAATTTCTTGGTTAACGGATTCGCCGCTTCATTTTTTTCTGATTTTCAAATAAAAATAAAAATTCAGAATCAACTGCAAAATGCTCATATTTTGCCCTGAACAGTTGAAAACAGTCCTTTTCTTACTACTTGTTACAGTCATTCCATCTTCCAATGCAGTGGTATCATTAAAAGTTCAAAATTCATTGTTTAAATTTTGAACCAGCCTGGTGTGATGACTTCATGGCTCCTATCGTACCATTTTGGGCCATAATAGGATGCCTAGGCCTGTATTTATTTTTATTTTTTTTCGCCCGCCCGCTCCATTATTTTTCTAGAAAAATCCGTTAACCAAGAAATTAAATTGGTGTGGCCTTATGTATATGACTGTCAACATGTGACCTGTATTTAGCCCAGTGGCACAAAAATGTACAATAAAGGTTTTTTTCATTAAACTTCAACACAAACCTGGTGTAAGTTTCCGTACAACCAGTGTTTGGGTGGTCCAGGAAACTGTTCTAACACCTTTGCAGTTCTCCGTGACCAGACTAAGACCCTCAGGAATGATATGACCAGGTAGACGACAGGAGTCAACAGCACCAATGCCACCGCAACCACCACCGGTCCAACAGCCATGGCTTAATATGTCTGGGACATACCTTGGGGAGGAAAAAAGTTTGGAACCGTTTGATCTATGTCATCTTTTTCCTTCAGGTGGTATCGCCTCTGTACTTGTATACATTACAGGTGACCCCCTGTCTATTCTTGCACTCCAAACCACATCTGACCTCTCACCAGCAAAGCTACATATTCTGTTTACTAAAATCATAATCATGGAAGAAAAAGTGGCCTAAATAATGGCCAACTACACACTCTATAGCACAGGTACTACCATGTATTAACGATACTATATTATATTAGGTCTCCTTCCTCTGAGATATCTAGGTTCATTTTTGTTTTGCAAACCGATGGGGCCCACAATTATGTGACTGCACATGATGAGGACGTTGCTCGATCGGTCATTCATCACTAGGTAAACATTGTGAGTGATCTGGGACAGCTGTTTATTTCCCTCAAGGTTGGAGCTCAAACTCTAAGTGTTGGGAGCAAGAATAATTCTAACAGAATATATTCTTACCAAGAGAAGTTAGACATTATTTTGGACCGAAACAACAGTCTGTACGTGCCATCATGATGCTTCAGTTTGGAGCTCAAAGTTTAAAGTGCGGAGATTTGGTGGCCCCACAAATATTGTCACCGTACTTTCAAAATTATATAGATTTTGTTAGCCAAAAGCCTGGAAGACGTGTGCTACAGAAGGTGTCAAAAGAAGAAGAAAATGAGGACGTCTTACCGATAATACTCTCACTTTCTTGTCTCTCTCTGGTCCTCTTCCTGGTCGTGTCAGGTCAGGCATAGAAATCGGGTCAAAGGGGAAAGGTCACAAGTCACGCCTGCTTACCCAAATAAAGGCGATGACATCACCAGGCACTTCTGCATCATATTATTATAGTTCATGTAGTATTAAAAAGGACGTTGTGCTCTAATGTTTTATGCCTCGACATTTCCCAGAGACATGATTAGTTTTTAACCAAAGTCTTTTTTTTCTGTCTTTAACAAACCTTAGGGACACTCTGTTATGTTATCGAGTTACTCTGTTGCTAGTAAAATTAAAATACGATTGTACTTTGCTACCAAACAGACAGACATTTTTTTCGACTGTTCTGTATATGGCTGTTTCGGCTTTACTAGTGATTCATCTTTGTTGTCGTTTTTATTTTGCTTTCTTTTTCGTTTTCGTGTGAAGGCGACACCATAGCATGGCTGCATGATAGCCTCCACCAGGCCTTTCTACGGGAATGCGGATCGTAGAATTCGGCAAAAAAGAGAATCAAATGGGCCAAGGGAGTCCGACCGCGGGTTTCTTTCCCTAACTGCGCGGCATAGCCAAACCCCAAGGCGGCCAAACTCCCCCGGCAAATATTCTCCTATATATAGCCAGCTTAGTTAGTCTGGTAGAGACTAGCTGCATGGCAATCCTTAGATGTCTGTTGTGTTGTCGTTGTTGTTGTTGTAGATTTTCGAATTGAGGATTTTCTAAAATATTCTTTGTCACACATTCACAGATTTCTTTTCAGTTGCATATCGTATCACACCCTATTTATTTTTATTTTATTTTACTTATTTTCACACTCAGTGATGACACTGCTTTTCACTGCATTACACAGTTAAACAAAATACATAAAGTCACATACAAATAATAAAATTAAGATACATTGAATAAATAAAAAAATGACGTTCTTTGTGCTCTATTATACTTCAACTTGATAATATCTGCACATTGTCACCCAGAGCCTCGGTCCCAGTCTTCAACGTTGATTGGTTAGCACCTTCATGTCATCAGTGACGTCATCACCTCCGTGACGTAAGACCAGAGGCGCTGACGTCACTGCGTAATAAAGGTACCTTATAAGGGTTGTGACGTCACGCGGTGTCACGGTCAGGTTCTTCTGTTGTAAAATGTACGACAGAAAATTTATTTATCAACTCTAAAAAAGTTCTCCATATAGCCTGTTTATTATGATTACCGAGGGAAAACCCTATTGTTTTTGCTCTGTTTCCTCTTCTTCTTCTCCAAACCAATAAGGTCAATGACCTGAACCAGACGTCTGTCACCATGGTAACTAGTGTTGGGTTACATCTCATCGCGAGAGAGGGGTAGTCACGCTGCAGGCGCGACATCTAGCGGAATTTATAATTACTGCATGAAACAAGTGTCATCAGTCTCATCACCTAAGTGTATCACAACACAATATCTTACACAACTACCGAAACTGATCATGAAAATATGAAGTCTGTGCTGCAATCTAAGCTCTATTTGTGGCACTGAGTGAACATAATGAAATACTGTGATGATGTTTCTTTGTTTATTTGTTTGTTTGTTTGTTTGTTACACGTTACCATGGTTTCACCATTGTGTTGCACTGACGCGAGCTCCGCCCAAAAATGTCGTACGCCGGCGCTGACGTCAATGCGACACAAGGATGAACACATTCCTTTTCATTTCAACAATAAGGTTTCTAGTTTCAAGTTGAAACAGGAACAATTTTCGGAGTAAACTTTCAAGAATGTTGGCTTCTTCTTGACAAAATGCTTATACGAAAGAATGTACGATTAAAAAGGAGCTCCCTACATTTTTTTATTCTTTATAATAAATAAGTAAATAACCATCGAATGATCGTTGTCTAATAGATTTTTCAAGAATCAATTTTCATTACAAGAATTGTATGAAAAGTTTGTTTCCTGATGCATGTGAATACCTATGGGTGGACGAGCCTTGTTGACAGTCTTGTTGCCCCGAAGGCAGTAATATGACTGCTATGGGACCGGTGAGGTGAGGTGAGGTGAGGTGAGGTAAATACCTATAGCGTTACCTCACCCAGAAATCGTGTACAATTACTTCCTGCTTTTTAAATCGAGCTTGTCTTCCGCGTAGTCATTTTCTAAATTGAGTAAGGACATACGTCCTTTGTTTGCATGAAAGAACTACAAAAAATGAAACGCTTTCAGGAAATAACGTTGTAGGAGTGAGTTAAAACCTTTGATCCAACAAAATAAAGTTCTCTTACTTAGAGCTTTCACCGGTTTTGACTTTAAACATGTAACTACCAACACAGATGAACTTTCATGATAATTGTGGGAGTTTTGTAAATCTTTGAAGGAAAATGGCACTGTAGTTAGAGGATGTCACAACCTCGTGTTCATATCCGTACCTGTGATCAACATTACTGACAGGCGCAGACATAAACGCGTGAACATGACAACAAATACTGCATATTCTTCACAACGCACAAGATAATTGATTGCAGAACATAAACATTTTAACTCCCATAGCTTTTAATAGACTTTGTGGTGCGAAAAGTCTTCTTCTACCACTACTTTAAGTTGCCAACGTTGTTTAATGCTATTTAAGGTGCGTGGGTGGATGCGTGCCCCTGGTTTCGACGCATATAATAGTTTGTTGTCGTTTTTTTTAATCCCATTGGTTTTCCGGGTTGCTCACTGAGCCGAAGTTTGACTACTAGTATCGTTTATTAACAATCACATGCGCCGAACACCGGACTTAAGTCAAGCACAAACGCTAGCCACGGAGCATGTTATAACGACGAGATACTTTATAGTATACTATCAGAATTCTAGGCAAACGCCAAGCCTAAAAAAATGTATACTAATTACGAAGTAAAATACAACCATTCACAGCAGTTGATGATGTTCTACTGATACTAGGAACTAGTACTTGCCTTCTACCCCTCTGCAGCAAGTCCTCTCCCAAACTAGCCTCTACCGGCATGCTTCAGGAGCTCGGGAGCGGCAAACTGTACTGTATCCTCAGTTTCTATTCCCAACACTGTACTTCTTTTGCTGACTAAGTTCCCAGGCATATTACCTACCTATTTAGACAATTTCTTTGTATTCTTTACAGCCGCTTCAAGCCATGCAAGGCCGTGGTAAAGGCTATTCCCAAACGACAGTCCCTTTGTCAAAATAGCGTACGGACAGCTCACAGTTCTCCGTGTGGCCCGAATTCGAAGTTGTCATGCCCAGCGTTGATCTGAGATGTTTCGTCTGACCCAGAGTCGTGCGAACTCACCTCTGGAGCAGACAAAAACATCGTGATCACAGCCGGTATCGTGCGACTGGTTTTCTTCTTCTTCTTGAGGTATACTGTGCAACACCTCTCTGTTGGGGTAAGACGCACAGGGGAGGGCGATACGCCCATTCTTTCCTCAGGTGCAAGAGCACGGCTACGTTGAAGTTGTCGGGCCCTGGCCTCGATCCGCGATTTGTGTGTTCGTTAAGCGCGTTCCAATCCCTGACGGCCCGAGGGAAATAGGAATAGGTTTGCGACGGCAAACATTTCAGGACATTCTTGCGACGGTTGTGGATTTGTCGTACAAACTTGTCTTGTCTTGTCGCCGGGAAAAGGTCTCCGTATATCCTTGTCGGTTCTTGATCGGTTCTGCCACAGCCGGCCCGACGATCAAACTACGCGACAAAACGCCGAACGACGAACGTAACCGCACATTCAAGCCGACCCCCGCGCGACAGGACAAAACTTGTAAACGTGTGACTTTCTCGATCTCGTTCACGTCTTTTATATAAGTACAGCCGGAAAAAGGAAATAGCCTTTCAGAAAAAAGACTGGATTCAATGGGGTAACTCCCACGCAAAATATAGCTTAGCATGCGTGACAGCAGACTTTGCTAAACGTTCTACGTGGCTATAGTGAAAGGTGTACCAAAAATAATCTCGAGACAAAAATGTACGCTGACAAAAGTTCCGGATCCGTAATATGTTTCACCATGTTACGAAAAACAACTTGGCTATTGTTCTATCTCGGGGGAAAGGCATCGTGTTAACGCGTTAGTCTCCGCAGGTGGAAAAAAGGGGAAGAACCTTTGTACCATTTCCTAGAATTTGACCGCCTTTCGTGGAACTTTGATTACCTGGCTAAACTCCTGGGGCAAATACTAGTAAACGTCCGGGACGCCCCATCACAATTTTTTTATTATTCATAGAGTAAAATAATTGTTTATTTAAACGTTTCCAAGTTTGCAGTATGCCTGTTGATAGCGTATTTTGTTTGTATTATTTTGTTAAATAGAGTATTTTGTTTACCTGGCTAAACTCTTAGGGCAAACGCCCGGGACGCCCCATCCGAAGTTTGTATCATTCATAGAGTCTGTAATTGTTTATTTAAACTTTTCCAAGTTTGCAGTATGTCTGTTAATAGAGTGTTTTGTTTGTATTATTTGTTTAATTAATAGAGTACTGTATTTTGTTTGTTCACATGGCAAAATTCTTAGGGTAAACGTCCGGGACTCCCCGTCGGAATTTTGTGTTATTCATAGAGAGTCTGTAATTGTTTCTTTAAACTTTTCCAAGTGTGCAGTATGCCTGTTAATAGAGTATTTTGTTTGTATTATTTTGTTTAATAGAGTATTTTGTTTGTTCACCTGGCAAACTCTTAGGACAAACGTCCGGGACGTCCCATCCGAAATTTGTATCATTCATAGAGTCAAATAGTTGTTTCTTTAAACTTCTCTAAATTTGTAGTGTGCCTGTTAATAGAGTATATTGTTTGTAGTAGTTGGCACGCTTCCATGTCGTGTTGACTACAGGTCCCTCTAGTTGATATATTACCACAGAGGAGCGGAAGTCAACATCGTAACGGAAACGTGCAGCGGACAGGAATATACAGGAACAGATAGCGCCAAATTATAGCCTCCACCAGGTCTTTCTACGGGAATACGGATCGTAGAATTCGGCAAAAAAGAGAATAAAATTGGCCAAGGGAGTCCGGCCGCGGGGAGGTAGTTCTTTCCCTCGGCCAGTCAAACCTACAAGGCGACCAAACTCCACTGGCAAATATTCTCCTATATATAACCAGCGTAGTTAGTCTGGTAGAGATTAGCCAAATTATGCATACATCAAGGTATGCACAAATATTTCTAAATGTAATTAAACGTTTGAATATATTCACACCTGTACTAGTGATCACCTCTGCATAAGGACCACCTTGCCAATGTGACCACATTTTGGTGGTCCCTTCAATAATTTTACATTGACACAGCAAAACAAGCATTTTGTGTGGCGTAACGGCAGAGTATTCCACTCAGAACCAAGAGGTCCTGGGTTCGAATCACCAGCCTTGTGCCCTTAGGAAAGCACTTTACACGACTTTCCTCACTTCGCTCAGGTAGAAATAACTTTGCCAGAATGACCAAACCAATACTGAAGGTTATAAGACCAACAAACATATTCCATACGGCCCAATAAAAAAAGACAAAAAAAGTTTTATTATTGGCCTCCCGTACCGAACGTAAGTGGTTTGCCCCTAAGAAGTTGGTTCTCCCAACCCCACTCAGGAATGTACATGCATCAGGATCAAGTGTCCTGTGGACGTGACTGACCTTAACCTGACCCCGCCAGGTCACCGAGCGTGGGCCACACTTTCTTCCAACTTTCCAAACCTTTATTTGTACAGAATGTAACATTACAATTCTTCGGCCTGAGCCGCTTTTCAAGAGTTCAATGGGAGGTAGGTCAGGGGTCTTTTACAAATGCTTCGGTTCAGTTACAATAATCAGTTATAGAAATACAATACAAATCCTTACAAAATGCAATTATCTCGGTCAATATCTTATTGCCATCAGTAGCAACATCCAAGTTTCATTTCACAATTATAGTCATTCTAAGTTAGTCGACGCAGTCGGTTTTTAAAAACTGCAACTGACGTGGCAGTTCTTAGATCCATTGACAAGTTAATCCACAGTCCTGAACTGAACTACTGAGTAGGAAAATGACCTTCTGTACACTTTCCGACGAACCATTGGCACATACAAAAGCACATACACTTATATACTAGTACTTACCCTACAGACTTTGCACCGTACCGAAAACATGAAACTGAAAGTCCATGATGTCATTAAATCAACCCTCTTCAAAAGCATGTGACTAGAAGTGAAATTTTCATATGTTGTTTCGATTTCAATATCGTTACCTTACTGCAAAATTATAACAAATATAAAGTCTGTGAATCTTGCTTGATGGGTTGACTGGATATAGCTTGATTGGTTAACGATTTGTTGTTTTATAAACATGACCCTTAAATCGCTACTAGACATTGAATACAGACTGAGTCTCTGTATAGGTGTGATGCGTTACAACTGATTTCATTGGAACCGCCAAGATAGCTTCTTCGTCTAAATGTACTGGGTCTATCATTTTCGAGCAGATGCGAACTTCAAGAAGATATGAGCCAATTGTCTACAAACTTCAAGGAAATGGATGAAAGAAAATCGGTGCATTTCTTCGAACTCCTGATGCGCTATGTAAACATTGAAGAATTTTCAAGCCAACTTCCTGCACAAAACTAGCCTTGGGTCCTGCTGTCGTCAACTTTGCCGTAGGCTAAACAGACATACCGTAACTTTATGTAGGAAAGCGGTCAGAAAATGACAAAAACTGTAAAGAATGTACGAAAATGTTCAGCTAAAAGCTGCCTACTTGAGTGACAGCTTACGCCCCTTTCTCCATATTGAAAGTTCAACTCGTGACTGTGCCACGCACAGTTAACAAAGAAAGGAAACCTCAATTCACTTTAACATACAAACTATAGGGTAGATCTGTGCTTGATACTTGTAAACATTTAGACATTGTCTGTGTGTAGATTGAAAGTACTTACTAGCATACCTACCAAGAAGGTCTGTGACAATACGGAGCATCCACGAACCGGCTGTGACTTCTTGGAGTCGAGGAAGGTACGACGTACTTTGCTCCTTGGCCGAGTTCGGGACCTGAACTTTTCAACTTGGTACTTCCGTGTTGCAAGTAGGTGGGCGTGGCGTGCGTAGCCTTTCATTGGTCAGAAGTAACTTGATAACTTGCGACCGCACAAGAAAGCAAGAATTTTCAAACTAAACTTTGTTTAAAATCACCCTAGGCTGCCTCCCAAGTCATTAATAAAAACTACGATTGTTTAACTATAAGATCTATATAAAGAAGTATTATGTATATCCTTAAACTATTGCGAAAACGTTATCATTATTGGTATAATTTTTGTACACTTTGCTGCCATCCTAGCAAGCTGATTATTCATGACGTCATTGGGCCAAAGGTCAGCAGTAGCGTGATCAGCTGACAGACTGCTCACACATCTCAGACCAGATTTAATTTTGCTCATTTTGTTCGCCCAATTTTCGCGTTCTTTCTGCTCCAGTGAGTTAATCCGGCCTGCAAAATGTCTGAGGCAGTGAGTACAGATTATCTTTTGTGAATAAGGCCGTGGGAATGGGCAAATTGTGTTGATTTTTAAGGGAAGAACCTTTAATTTTTGGGTCCATGACTTTGGAGGACGAAACATAATTTTGAAGGGGGAGGGCATGTGAAAAATTATGCTTACATTTCGCCTAAAATTCAGGAAATATTCTTCTAGGCTCTTTCATATTACAGATCATTCTTCTTTTTTTACGGCCACTTCTTTGGAATTACTGTTTTGATGAGCAAAAGCAAGCTAAGAAATACAAGACAACCCTAGTTGGAGCCCACGCCCATTTTTTCTGTGTCCCAGGTCACAAATTATTTTAGAGCTAGGGAGAAACACTAGAATCAAGCAGGGTGTTCTATTCAACATAGAAACTTTGGCAGAAGCAAATATTATGCTTTATCATCAATCAGACAGTTACTTTGGAATACACTTTGACAGAGACTGTTTGTTATGTACAGCAAGTATTATTAAATATCTCAGAAGAACTTGTAAATTATTTGCCTTAGTTAGGTGTAACGTTACCTTTATCCCCCCCCCCCCCCCGTTGCTTTATATGTGGCTTTTCCAGTTTATTTTGTTATCAGGCATCCAACAATTATCTCAGGAAGGCAATCTAAGAAACGATACTACAAGGAACCAACTGGCTTTTCTCATGTAATTCTTTAAAACTTTAATGTGTACATAGGAATGTGTTCCATTGTTGCAGTTCTATCACTATAGTATCAGGGGAAAATAAGTGTGGAAACAAGTGCTTAACTGTGACAGACAACACCTTAAAAGATCTCTACATTTCCCACCTAAGAATTCTGTACATGGGAAAGTCCAGGATGTGTTTTGTTGCAGCAGAATTGCATTTTTTCTGGGCACTGGATTCCAATCTTTAAGTAACATGCTACAAACAACCATACTTTGTCACCATAGTTAAGTAAGTTAGTAATTAGATATTCCCTTGTGGCTGTACAAATGATTGATACTGCTTTGCATTGTCCTGTGTACATTAGTCTTGTAGCCAGTCCATTGTAGGTTTGTTCTAAACGATGACAATACAGTAGTTAGAAAGACCAGCTGCAGCCAGAAAGGTCTGGAGATGGTCCAACACCCCTAGGCCGGCCACGGCCAGTGGAGAATGGTAACCAGGAGACGTGTACATTTACATTAGAAAGGTAGCCAAAATGTATTTACCATTACTTTAAAATTGTGTGACATGATGTTACTGTTGTTAGTCACTCAAAAGCTGTATTTTGAACTTCCATAGGAATTCGAGAAAGCTGCAGAGGAAGTGAAAACTCTGAAGTCCACTCCTACAGATGAAGAGATGCTGGAGATCTATGCACTTTTCAAGCAGGCTAAGGTTGGGGATGTTAACACAGGTATATACACTTGAACTATACCTACATTGTAATGCATGTATAACATTACCTACATTCTTGAAAGTACTAAAAAATGGAAATGCAATCAACGAGTGAAATCAGGTGTCATCATTTTAGACATCCTGAACATTCATTAAGTTAAAAGTGAATGACATTACACTCTATGCATGCCTTCTTGGCAGTGTTGATTATTTTTCTGACAATTTTCTTGTTTTTCTATCTTCCAGCTCGTCCAGGTATGTTAGACTTCAAAGGAAAGGCCAAATGGGACGCCTGGGAGGCAAAGAAAGGTAATCAGGCATCTTGATGTGAAACCTTTGGAGTCTTGGAATGCACTGTAGATGTATGAATGACTTGGACAACTATTGAACAGAAAAAAAAAACAATTTTCAATAGCATTTTAAATTTTCATGCTATTTTCCAGCCTATAAGTGATATGATAAGTTTTCTGTTCAATGTATAGATTAGAAACTATATGATTTTAGATGAAATATCTTGCATGTAATACTCCTGACTTGTTTCTCTCACTGTTACTAAATATATATTTTTTCTTTTCCCTCTCTCTTAGGCATGTCCCAAGAGGATGCCCGGGCAAAGTACGTCGCTAAAGTGGAAGAACTCAAGGGAAAATATGGAATTTAACATTTGAGCATTCACAACTACTACTATGTCTCTGAAGATAGCTACAACAGCAATGCTCATTCCATAGAAGTAATAAATTAGAGATAGGTTTTGAATGCAGTGAAGTATTACACAATGTTAGAAGGTAGTCTGAACTGTTTTTCACATTCACAGTGTGCGGTTTTGCTTGAAACGTACAACATTCAAAGTGACCAATCACAGAGCTAGTTCTGTTCTTTTGGACCAATCAGATGTCAGAACAAAGGGTCATATAACACAATCATCTCTGATTGGATGATTTAACTGTTGGTAGCTTGATAGTTTTGATTTTACTTTTATTTGGTGATGTATTGAATTGATGCAGTAAGGAGTGATATTGTTATTGTGTTTTATTATTAATATTGATAATATTACAAAAAAAAATTTTAACATAGCATGAAGCATATCACACAATACAGTTGTAATTCTGATTTCTCTACATTTTAGTTGAATAGAAGAATCAATTAATGTGGAAATTATGCAACTGCAAAGACATACATGTATACAGGACATTTTCTGTTGTCATTTGCATATGTCTGTTCATTGTCAAAAGACCACTGCGAGAGATTGGACATTATTGCCAGTATCAGACTGTATTGGATGTTCAGCAATTTGGAATGCCATATTATGTTGCTATTAAGTACTCAATAACAGTCCAATGTCACATGAATATGATGAGATTGTCATTGTAGTTCATGAGCTAATGTTCTGTCTTCCGATGGATTAAAACGTGAAAAAGTATCCCTTCATGACTCTGATGCTTGTGCAGTGCCCTACCAAATGTTGTTCTACCCTAGCAGAAATATTATGTCCTAGTCCTGTTCCTGTTCCAAGGATTTATGGAGAAAGTAAGCTTTGATAGAATCATTGGGTGTTAGAGTAGAAGACAATAATCTACAGAGGTTAGCATTAAATTTCTTGATGTAGCCAACTCATAAACATTTTCAAATTGGAATTCTTGCAATTTTCTTGACAATCAAGCCTTCAAACTATAAAATCAACTTTTATTTCCAAGGTTTGATAGTAGGTAACAGTTGAGTTGCAATTAGTTGCTTACTGAGTTGCTTACTAGTTTCAATTTATTTATTTAACCAGTAATTACAACTCAGGCCATTTTGGCCTGCTTTTCAGGTAATCCTGGATACACATAAAAATACACACACAAATACACAGTACATTACTAATTACAACATCCTAAACATCAACAGTGTCAAGTCCTGCACCTAATGAACTGTTTAAAAATCCTGAGAAGTCCTGCTCCTAATGATCTCACAGTTTAAAAGTCCTGAGAAGTCCTGCTTCTAGTATAAATGATCTGTAGGATCGCCTTGGGGAAACATGAGATGACCATGCTGCAGTTGACACTTCGGCCGCTAGGTGTACGCATGCCTGTAGTACTGACACTGACTGCCAGGGGTCGCTGTCCTTACGTAAGAGCAGTTACGTCAGAACCCCGGAAAGCGTTGCACGATTTCGTATTTTGAAACGATATCTTTTTGATCTTTGTATCCTATTTTGCCACAGAATGATAGTAATCTCGCCATTCAATGGAATATCCGCCTGTTTTTGCTGTGCATTGGGTATATATTTATATTTTTCTTCCCCTTTCGTCATGTGGCCTGTTGGTCTAGGGGTATGATTCTCGCTTTGGGTGCGAGAGGTCCCGGGTTCGAATCCCGGACAGGCCCTTCAATTTTTTTTCCTTTCATGATGGATCTGTTTTTTTTTTAAGTAGATCTCACTCACTCACTATCTATTCCCCAATCTTATTCTTTACCTTTGGAAACAGACATGTGTATTATTATTATTATTTTTTTTAAACCAGGTGTGACAACCTTTCTATGCTATATGCATGGAGGTAAACTTTTTCTAACTCCATGCTATATGGTAGCACCTCCTTGATGTTTAACCAACTTGATGGTACAAAATGTATTTATTACTAGTAATAAGATCTTCTGGCTCTCTCAGAGGTTGAAAATGGAAGTAAATTCCAGCCGTTCAGAAAATGCCCGTCGTCTAGTCTATGCTAGAGCTAAAAACCACTCATATTGACAAAATACAAAGGGGCAGCACCACACCTAAATGTATTTACCGTACAAAGTTAGCCGTGGGCGACTCTGGTAATCCTTTTTGCATGATCATGCCGGATACAGATTACGTACAAAGTTTGCTTTATAAACGGAGCCGCTAGTACACACATGTACATGTACCTTCCAACCCAACCATTTTAGTCTCTGTGCCAAGACAAAAATAAAACACCTGTTGGATTAAAATGAAGATACATGTAGATCTAGCGTTGTGTTGCCATATGTCCTATGCCTGTTAAAAACGACATGCTTCTAAGTTCTAGCTTTCCCCGGACTGTTTTTCATTTGTATATCGATATCTGTCTCGCACACCATATTTGCCGTAAATTAAGAGATTCCGGCTATTGTACATAGCTGAACTTGCAAATATGATGTGCGAGACAGTTAATCCAAGACAAATTACAAATGGAAAATAGTCCTGTGGAAGTACAATAGGGAAAGTTTTTGCAGTGTGTGGTAACTCGATGGTGCACGGTCATTTCAGTCGCTTTGGTACCATTAGGTGATTTGTGTTTACTGATGTGAAAAAAAAACAATGAATGACACAATATATTCGTACAATTTGCAGCTTATGTGGAGTTTCGAACTTCGTGGTGGTAGCAACTGTACCTTTGTGCTATATTTTGAATTTCAGTTGTTATGGTGCCGTTATTGGTGATACACGCAGGTCAGTAGATTAGACCTGGGATTGGACTAGGGCCATGCAGAACTTACGGTGCTGGAAGTCAAATATGTTGACCATTCCGCGACAAATTAACTTCGTTAAGGCCCGGTCACACTGGCAGAACTTTGCTAGAGCGTTGCTTGAACGGTGAATAAAATTCATCACCACTCGAAACCGCTCACCACCGCTAAACAGAAGTTGGCCCCCGTTAAAGCAACGCCGTGTACGCCCGGCCACCGCTGACGTTTCTGGAGGGGCCCTCCTACCGCTCCGAAAGTTTTGAGCTGCACAAAATATTGCGAGCGGTGAGGAGGGGGAAATTTTCCGCTCCGGCAAAGTTCACCCCCGCTCCACCAACGCCCAGTCAAAGTTCGGCATCGCTAGAGCAAAGTGAGCCCAGTGTGACCTGGCCTTTATCACCGTTGTGCCCGATGACGTTAAGGGTCGGTGGAAAAAGCGGTCCAGTTTTATTTCTGAAAAACCAGACTGGCAGGCCCGTTTACTAAATCAAAAAAAAGTGAAAACTAGACAAGAGAGACAGAAGGTTTTTTAACTATTTTGTTTTCTTTTTTAACATTTCGGCGTGACTGAGACATAGACAAAGGAAGGGGGATAGAAAAAGGATGTGCCAAGCTACCCACGACAGGTTACTGTCCAAGTGCTCTCACCAACCCACTCCTGCCAACTTGACACATCAAAATAAAATAATGACATAAAAGACAGACATTTCCCGTCTTCCAGTCTGCATCGTTTTTTCCACCAACCCTTCACGTCATCGAGTGACGTGTTTACTTTGGACTGGGGCCAATGTTTACGGTCGACCAGTATCCTGTTATGTATATATCAGTCCGCCTGTTTTTCTGAATGTGCTGATCATGGTGCGCGCATGCGAAGGTATCCAACCAATTTTGTCCTTGCAACTTACTTTGCGACAAAACGACGCATGATAAAATGACACTCGATTACCGCACACTTTTCAGTCTTCTGTACTACATAAATTGTATGGTGTGTTTAAGCAAGGAGCTTTCGTCAGAGTGGTTTAATTGGCGCCATGCCATGTCGGGTGGCACACCTCACCACTGGCACTGCCAAGTATACATACGCCCAGTGTAGCTCCAACCTTTTGTTTATTAATAATATCCTGCCTCAGAAGCAACTATAGTCTACTTTCTATATATGCTTCTGCCTGACACCGCCAATCCTATAAATGAGTCAATTCTCAGTATTAATAAAGTGGCTCAGCATTAAAAGCATCGCTGTAACCCGGTGCGCAGTGATACAAAAGTGCAAGCTACGGTGTGAAATCAGGTGGTGCAGGTGGGCCGGGATCGAAGTTCCCCGACGGTCGACGGACTTAAGAGTCATTTTGTCCGACCAACTGATTATTGTGCTCATTCGTTGGTGACCAACATGACCAGTGATCTGAAGACTCAGATGCTGGGCCTTACGTTGCTTTACGACGAGAACGGTCATCATCGGAAGTTCACTGATTTACAAGGTAAAATTGTGTACGTTTTAAGGTTTACATCCCTTTGTGATTATCAACAACTGAATTTTGAGTTGTTGAGTGTATTGATAGATATTGAGTGCAGTGGAATTAAAAAATTATAGTTGCAACGTAACAAACAAGATTCAAGATTTCTAGACCCAGTGGACAAAAATCAAGGAAGCCACACCTGTACGGGTGGAATCAGTACTAGTATGTCTGCGAGTAAGGACTAAAATGGCTACCGGCTTATCTGAACGCAAATGCCCACCTGTAACTTTAGAGGAAGAAAAAGGAACATTTTCAGAATGTTTATATAGACTCAACAGAAGGTCAACAGATGCTTTCAAGAGGCAGAAAAGAGTGGAATTTCTTGTAACCTGTGAGGAAACGTGTAGAATAACTCATTAGACAATGAGCTAAACGGAATGCATAGTACTTTTAATGCATGCAGTAACAACTGGTGAGCGCCTCACCTTTATTTAATGGCGTCAACAATTACTAGTAACTTTTTTCTGAAACGGAGAGAGCATTAGATGTCTAGCACAATAGCAGCTTCCCACCGTTCTTTGTCCAAATGCAAGAACAGAGGAATCAAGGCGCTAACCACCGTGCATCTGTAAAATTCTGCACACCATCTCTGCCCCCTGCACCCACGCGGCCCTTCACAACTACTCGTCTCGGCGGCTCGGTGCTCCTGTAGCACTATTAATCGTGCTTTCGAGCTGCAGGTCATCGCGAGTTCCTACCAAGGTTTAAACCTCCTTGGTAAGAACTAACTACACGTACTATTACTAGTATTATATGGGCTTTCTTTCTTCCCTCGTACAAGGGTCACGGTGACTTGAGTCGGGTGTGACGTGGACTATTCCAGTTCAAAACCGTGCTGGAACGGGCTTCGCTACATGCAATTTGAGCTTTCCCATGTCCTTTACTGGTAACCATGGCTCATACGGGTCGGCTTATAAATTCGGCCGGCCAGAGGTTGTTTGGCACCCGATCGTTGCAGCCGCGGATGTTCTAATTGTCGGGTGCCAATTCTAATTGAACAGTCTACCTGTTCGTCTTTTTTGTCCGTGTACAAATATTAACATTATTGTTAATATTAACTAACTTAATATTGTTAATATTAACTAACCGCACTAAATATTAACTAAAATGGCCACACACCTTTGTTTCATTAGGGGTGAAAATTTAACAGGGGCAGTAGAGGTTTACGGGGACAATTTACTTCGAGCCCTATGCCCTAATGCGATATTTTAGTCACAGTGCAATATTTTAATATTGAAAAGACCTAGACTGTATTTATTTAAAAGATAAATACAGTATAGGTCTTTACGTTACAAAAATCAATATTCTGAATTCTAAATCAGCGAAATCCAAAGTGTACGTAGTAAAAGAACATTTCATTTGTTGTACACAAATCAGAAGGGAACTAAGTTCGAAAAGTACCGAAAGTATACATTCCCTTCTTTCACAACATACAGCTCTTACCTTATTCTCCCAAGAGGCGCAAACTGGTACATTCTCTGAGGCAGTGACATCACTGAAATTATTTCAAAATTAGGAACATTTCAGAGCTTTCACTAAGGATATTATAATGTCCTAGGTTTGTCACAAGTTCGTCTTATAAAAAAGAATTGGAAAAGCAGTGCACATAACCATCATGCAAGTATTTGCACATATACACAATTGAATGTTAATAAATGTAAAATAATTTTAGTGATGTCACTGCCGGCTTTCTGACGGAAGCTGTGATGCATATTGGAGGCCTTCGATTCAATTTAAATTACCTAATAAAACAGAGAAATAATGGTCTCACCATTTATATGCTTTTGTTTGCACCAACGCATCGAATTACAATGACATGTGACAAACTAAAAAATATCTTCTGAAGAACATGAATGAGAAAAGTGAATGGTGAATGAATTTTTTTTTTTATTTGCAGGTAGATCCCACCTGCTGAACAGCAAAACAATGACCATCTACAAAAGTGACAACAGTGACAGAATTTTCATTTTGGACAGCGGATGACGTTCCCTTTTGGAGAAGCACCAATAAGAATGGAAACAGGAAGTCCTCAGGGATGTGACTGCAAGCAGCACTGTGGATCTGTGTCCAATAGACCTACAGCAGAAAAACGGAATTACACATGTACAAGTGGGAGAACTCATAGTAAAATCAAAGAACGTGTTGCACTTCAGCCGGGCTAATGTACAAGGAACCCAATTGCAAACTCTGCATCTCCAAAAATTGAAATTGAATCTCAACATGGAAGGAAAACTATATATGACGTTGAACATGAGATGAAATAAGAAAAAAAGGTTGAAGTTAAAAGCAACAATCCAAATACAGTATCATGGTACCCTACAGCACCGGCAAGCGATGTTGCAAGCTGGCAATGGCTTCAGAATGAGCAAAATGGCTGATGACTGCCACAGGTGGAGAACTTTTGTAGACATGTGCAGATCTATAGATAGACTGCCCCTACTGCTCACAGCTACAGTGAGTGAGTGAATGGCTTCAATCCAGAGCAAACACACAGAAATAAAAGAAAAATTATGCTGTATTGGTTGGAGTCAACATGGCACTTTCATTGAGAACCTCTGTATTACATAATGTACCTGTGCTTACACCACTGGACAAGACCCCTGTGCAACAACTGGATCAGAAACATTTCAGTGTTTTCAAGAATTCCAAGTAACAGCATGAGGATGATCAGCATGGAAGGTGACAAAGCTTAGAGGTGAGGAAATTTTATCCTTGGGGAATAGATGATTGCAGTCATATCACTGGCCATCACTTACTTGTAGTGGACACCAATCTTTGAAGTTTTGGCATCAAAATACTTCAAGTCCCCTAATATAGACTTAACCGTTGTACCTGTTTATGTTCATAGATATTTGCCACTGAATCCTACCAACTGTTTGCCTGACAAACATATGTAGTCTCAATGTGAAAATGAACACTAGCTCTTGTAATTGTTTTTTAAGTTGAGGCAAAATAAGCAACGTGCAAATCATGCTGTTTCTTTCACCAAGTTGCACTACTGTTGACTTTGTCAAGTCCTTTGGCTGAATACCATAAAATTGTGTTATAATTGACAGTTACATTTCTTTTTCTATGTTAAGCTTCATACATCTACATTCAAAAAAAGGAAGAAAACCTGACTACAATCGTATCTTTAAATGCATAGAGAAATGTCGCTATCGAACATTAAGCCCAGATTGCCATGCCAACATTGTTTAAATGGCTTGCGACAGTGGTTTAAATATGGTGGCAAATATGTCATAGGTCACCCGATCACGCATGAGCATAACAACACAAAATGGCGGATTGAAAACACCGACGAAAGGAAAAAGTTCTCCAGTGGTAAGCGCCAGTAATTATCTAAAACTGACACAATAAAAAGATTGATCTCTGTGGACAAACAAAGTTAATGGCTCTTTGTTAGTCCAGGTAATTCAGAACTGAAAACATTCTACGCTGTGTAAATTTGTGCGCCACTTCTTCGAGGGGGCCGGGCCAATTTCATGAGGGGCCGATGTCACCTTAAGTTAGTTTTCTGTGTTCTCGAATTAGTTGCGACATTTACATAATATATACTCTTACAAAACATCAACTGACTTAAGTCGTAACAGAAAATGGTGTATTCTATATGCAATGCTACTTAGAATTGCTCGTAGCACACCATGCCTTCATGTACCAAGGAGTGAGGTGTTGAAAAACTCATTTCTCCCTAGAATGTAATTTGCTGCCACCAAGTACATTTGAGGCATTATAGCCTTAAACAATTGTATGTGCAAAGGTTATAATAAATACGTTGTTCATGTAATGTAGTCAGCTTCCACTGCACTGCATGCCTGGGAAGCTGGTGCGTTACGACGAATATACTGGCTATGCAGATGCAGAGCACATTAGTATCAGTTGACACTTCCCAGCACGAATGTTACAAAATAACCAATTATCTGTCAAACATTTGAATATTTTTCTTGTTTTATGGAGGTTGAATGTTACAAAATATATTCCAACCTTCTCTGAACTTCCCTAAACCAGTGAAATTTGATACTGCAGATTCCTACACTGTGTATTTCCATTGGTATAGTGAATGGCTTCACTCAGTTCATTTTTACTTTTAGCTCAAGATGTTTGTATTTACTAAAATGCTTTAAACTTCTGTCAAAACATAGGTGTGAAAAGCATACTTCGAATATGCCTTTGGAAATTCGCACCCAGGACACTCCGGCACTCTCACAAGTGCAACATGGACCTCCAACTGCAGCAGCAGCTGCAGCTGCACACAACCAGGTCCCATCTGCATCTGCGGTGAGTATTAAGTATTTCAGACACATCACATATCAGTAAAGTCTTGTGTGAATAAGGTCACGTGTTGGTAACTATAACTCTCGCGAGATTTCGCTTTGAAGTGATTGGTCATTAATTATCCTGACGAAGCCGACAGTGGTAACTGAAAATTTGATCTCTGTATACTATGTGTGTTGGAATGAAGTTTAACATTTTACCATAGTATTTCAGACACATCTGCACTCACATCTATGTGTGGACAAGCCACTTTCCATTTCCCGAATCCATGTTGATTTGATTCTATGGATGACATCCTCTGGGAATCCCAAAACTGATGCGAGCGTGCGAATGGAAAAAGTTTGGCAAAAAAATGTTGCTTTCATTATGAAATCTAGGTGGTCATGAAGGTTACAAAAATGACTAAATATGCAGAGTATATTTTTTTTTTCTTTTCCAATTTTTTTTTCAATCTACAGCATATATTTGCTCATTTTGCAGCAACTTTGTACGATTTACAGTATGGTCAAAAACTTTTTTTTGAAACGGACAAAAATTCATGTCATCCATATAATCAAATCAATATGACCTAAATGGAACTAATTGTGCCACATACAATTATGAAAACTTTAGTTACTAGTCATTATATTAATGGGAGTCATCATTTCAGATGTACCTCCAAGACTTCCTGAAAAATATTGATGTGGACAGAGAAGACCTGTATCAAGGTTGGTTCAGCTTCTGTTTTATGCTTATTGAAAGCTCAAAAGTGATAGAAAGGATATAGTTTAAATCTGTCCATCAGAGGCTTTGCACCATTTATAAAGATTTATCATTTTGTGGAAGGACTGGCATAACAGGGAACTATCACCATCTTCAAAATGTCAACCCTGAAAAAAGACTGTAAGGTTTGAACCACTCACACTGGGAAGGACCTCTACTCTTTTTGATAAGTGTGGTTGGTTCTCTCATGTGCTCAAGGTGTGGCTTTCCTCAAAAGACTGGGCAGCCATTTTATGTCTAATCCATGATGATGTCTCTAACCAAAGCTATAGCCTAGGTACTCCTTATATTTACACCTGAGTTGAGTCAGTGTTTTTCATAATTATTGATTAGCATATGGGTACAAAGTGTGAAGGGTGTAAGAAACAGAAGGAGCGAGTAGAAACAGATAAAAACCCCTGGTCCCAGGCCGGGGTTCTAACCCACGACCAAAAAAAGAGGGCCAACGCACTTATCACTCAACCTCATTGGCAATACAATCCTTGAATTGCCCAATTAAGAGTCACCTTGTTAAACAAAGAATGAATGAATAAATAAATAAATAGAAGAACAGTTGTTGTGATTGGATAAATAACACTCAGCATTTCTTGCAATAGAGTCAAGAAAGCGGGCAAGAGACAAAGACAGCAGCTGTCTTCCAAAGAAAAGGAAGACTCAGTGAAGGTAAGAACAAGGCTGAGTAACAGAAAATTACTCACAACTTGAGAATGATGTCAAGCTTAAGAATAACTAGATCTCCTTTGAACCTTAACTATATCCCTTATCTGTCAAAATTTTTGTACAATGTAGTATTCATGACAATAACATATCATGTTTAATCCTATTCTTTTCTTTTCTTTTGCAGCAGAGATGGAGTGAATTCACAGCTCCACAGTACAAAATCTGCAATAAAATATCATATATACTATTAGCTAAATGACAGTTTTTGAAAAGGTTACAAATGTCATATAATAGCAACACTGTTTCAGATGTAGATATTATACACATGCACGCACGCGCACGCACGCACACACACACACGAGCTTTTGGATTAGTAAGTGACATCATCTAGTGGAAAAGGACCATCAGTTTTTGACAATAAACAACCTTTTCTGAGACAATAAAGCCATCCAACTATTATCCATGCACTTTGTCTGATTCATTTATTTCTACTTGATGTAATTTACCATATTATCAATGCCTCCACTTCTGTTAAGCACAGGGTAAATAAGCATACTATGCCCCACCCCAGTATCTGTAGTAATTAAAGCAATTAGTGGGAAGGGGTTAGGCTGACAATTGTATATTCTAATCCTCTTCAAGAACTTCTGGAATCACTCATTATTATTCCATGCCACAAATACTGACCAGTGAGACCTCTGAAATCTCATGATAATCTGAACTGGAACGCAACAAAACGGAACATGAGACAGAAACATCCATCATTTATACCTTGCAACATGTCACCTTCCTCTTGCTGATGAGGCTGGCTGCATCAGCAAAATTTTCTGATCTAGGGAAAATGGACATGTTCAAGGAATTTAATCTTCACAGGTGGTGGGAGAGGGATAAAAGACAACTATACTACTATAAATTCCCCAATATGGCAATGGTAAATTCACAGTACATGTACTGTGAAAACAGTGAACATAGATCGAGATACCAAGGAAAATCAGGAACAGTACCTTACATCTCAGGTACTTTCAAATTCTCAGCATGGTTGCTTTGTTTACCATATGTCAGTTTTCTTCCACAACCATCAACTTGTTATTCTATCTCCCCTATTCTGTACATCTCTCCAAATCTTCATGGTTAGTGTAACATACTCTATCACCTTATCAGCTCTAAGTCTTTCTCTTTTTTGTCTTCCTGGGTGATTTCCTTGACTTCTTCTTTGGTGAATCAGACATGCTACTTGTTCCTTCACCAAGACTTTCACTCGTCTTCTGTCTCTTCCTACCATCTTTTTTCTTTCCTTGAAGTTTACTACGTTTCCCTCCTTCCACTTTGACTTTAATTTTTGGCAAACGTTTCTTTTTGCCCTTTTTTGGTGTCGGTTTCTTCTTTGCCGTCACTTCCTCACTGCTCGAGGCTGTCGGCTGACTTGCAGAGGCTATCAGTCGTCTGGTCTCCTCTGTGGGGGACAAAATGTACGGCAGTTAGTTTGTAAGTCAAAGTGAACAATAACTAATGATTGTGTGGGGACAACTTAGGCTTAGAAATTACTAGTAGTTGATATAGTGAAGACAATGGAAAGCTAAACTTAAGTCATCATATGTATGCAAGCATCTATGTAAGTCCTGATGACATCGGCTGCAGTAAACAAACAGAAGCTTAAGTGCTATGGCCACAAACCTGAGTCCTGTATGGTAAATCAAGATGTCACTCCAATAAAATACCTAATATTTATCTAAATGACAAAACAACAATCCAACCACCTAATCCAGCTAGCAGCTGAACTAGGTATTGATAGCAGTCAAATTTGTGTCATAAAATAGCTACTGGTTCCATTACATTTGATGAAGATACATATATACTCTCTGTAAGTTTTCTTGTCTATTCTTTCCATTTGAGGTGCAACCTTAACTCACCCCTGATTTTCTGGGTAGGAGACTTGCATCGTGGCGGAGTCTTCTGCTGTCTTTTCTTCTTTGCCTTCCCCCTTTTCTTACCAGTAGTCGGAAGCCACTCGTCATCTTCTGATGTTGTTGTTGGTGGGTCCTGCTTCATGTGACGTATGTGACTAGGCAGCTGTTTGTTATAAAAAATTTATTTCGAAACTCAGTCCACATCAAAGGTAGGACAAGCTTGGACATTTTGAGGGATTGCAGTCATTTCGGATGGTGACATAAAGCCAGGTAAAACAACAGTGCAAGTTATGTACATATATCTTTAATACATCTCACCTTTGCAAATGTGCCGTAAGATTTTCCCTTGATTTGGGCAATCCGTGATGCCCGTTCCCTGGACTCCATCTGAGAAAGGTGGGACACAAACAAAGGTTTATAGGTCACATTTGTTCAATTACTACCATTTTTTACAGTCTCAAATACCGCAAGGATCACCCCTCCTTCCCTGAAACCTACAACTAGTCTTTTTAAGTGAATCAGCAACCTGCAAACATGACCATGTGCCTTCCTGACAATATGATAAAATATTGCAAACACAGAAGACTTCTACACAAATACATTTGTACATAACATGCCAGTAACAGTGAACAAGATTTTTGAGAAGCATTCTCTTTGTACCTACCAGTCCTTCATCCATCGCTGACTCATCTTCTGACACTGGCCTCTTTCTGCCACGACTCTACAACACAACATCATTATAAATATTTTAAAATATTTAAAGGTATTAAAGTGCATGTTCTTATGATGTAATCAATGTGTCATATATAACATGTCAGTATCAATAATGTGAAAATCAGTGAATATTACAAATTGCTTTGTAGAAACATGCTTTTATCTGCAAATGTAAAAAAACTCATCAGTAAAACAAAAAGTGTATTCAGTAAAAATCTGTATATATATATATATATATATACTTACCCTTCCTTTGGTTGTTTTCCTCCACTCTTCATATTTGTGGATTTTTCTAATGAAAACAAGAATTCCGAGATTTCATACCTCCATGAAATATGGGCTTGATATGTAAATGTTAATTTCCTCTTTAATTATGCAAATTACCTCCGCATTAACATGATATATGCATCGTGATGTATGTTAACTTTTGATTAACTTACAGATGCCCCAAGTATGACATTCCCATTATTCATTATTGGCATTAAGAAATCATAGAATCTTTGCATAAATTATGGAAATTAGGTCATCATTTGCATAATTAGTATCTGTTGATGTTCTGCCTGCCATAGGTTGCATACATTACATGTATGAAAGTAGTATAATGTAAAACACTGTAATCATAGAATTTCCTCATTAATTATGCAAATAAAGTCCTCATTTGCATAATTTGCATTTAATCATGTACATCTCTCTCTCAGCTACCTACACAACAAAAATTATGAAAATACGTTGTTCCTATCTGGACTTATTGGCTTTTAAACATTTCGCCAGAAAGTGCCCTGCAGTTCCAGAACAAGCTGCTAGGGGGACCAAACTCACACCACTTATTCCTGACAGGAAAAGCTATCTGTCACCAAAACATCAAGACCATAGCATGTTCAGGACAAAAGATACAAAAACTGGAAGTTTTGCTGCAGTACCAAGGTCATCCACCAGGAGGCCCATATTTGACCTTGACCTTCGTCTTCCTAAGACTTACCGACATACCAAATATCATCATAATCCATAAAGGCGTTCTGAAGTTATGCTGACCACAAAGTTGCGGAAACACACAGACACACACACATACATACATACATACATACATACATACAGACAGACACGCCAAAAACAATACCTCCATTTTTCATGGAGGTAAAAAAAGGCAGACAGCATTAAAAACATCAATCCACATCATAAACATATATGGCGAAATTATGTGACAAATTAAACAATATGATCCAAGCTATATAAGGTTAGGCCTATTTTAGACTTTTTGCTTTTTTTGCTTTTCTGTGCATTTTGTAGGCTTTCTATTTCATTACTTTTTATTTGGGTATCCTGTCTAGGCTGACAAAAATACCTGGCCAAAAGCAGGTCTAACTTTTACTTGTGTAAACACTACTACAGTATACAGTATTAGCTACAGTATACCACAACATACAGGAGAAACTTACTCAGCAATAGACTCAGCTATGCCGGTCTTCACCACCCCCAGGGAAGGGTCTGGTCTTCCCCCTCCTCCCAACTCACACTTCATGTTGTGGTATTTCTCATGGATATCTTGGAGTTGCTGTAAAATACAGAAAAGAAACAAAGAGCCAAGACTTTGCAACACTTATACACTGTAAAATACATTGGGATGAAAACAATGATACATCCTTGTTTTACAAACACAAACACACAAATGTATTACAAACGTAACCAACACTTTCTTAGACACGATTTTTGCCAAATTATGTCAACTAAACGCGAAAGAATGTAACAATGAAAACAATTACACATTCTTGAATTCTTGTTTCTTCATGCTTTCCTTGTACAAGCTAGTGAGATCCCTAACCAAACTCATTTTCACCTGAGTGGAGAGACATTCAGAAAAAAAGGTACATTTCCCAAGGGCAAAACACTGGGCCCTGCCAGGGATTCAAACCCTGAACCTTTAGGTCTTAACAACAACACAGGACCACCTTGAGTTATAACAGATACATGTATAAAAAATCCTTTTCTCCTTACCTCCAGTGAGTCCCCTAACACTTGTGGCAGGATGCTCTGTTGTTCTTTCAGCTGGTCATTTTCTCTGTCCTCATCATCAGGGAGTTTTTCCTTGGTCCCAAAAATCAGCTGAAACACACAACGTCAATATGCAAATTAGCAATCTATCAGAAACAACTAAATTACAGTTAGCTAGCAATGAGTTGAGTTCATCCTCAGTTGAGTGACACAAGTTTCTCCATCTAGATGACAGGACAAAGCATCCTTCATCAAAGACCAAGATCCTCCCCCAATAACATCCTTTTAAAAAGTGCGAAAGACGGATAACTGCTTCTGTGACTTTCATCTAGTTTCCAGAAAAGGACCAAACCAGCCATTTCCTTACATGACCTGTCAGTACTAATGCATACTTTGCAGAGCAGTTGTATTACATACAAAATGTGATACTACTATGTGTAGCTGTTTACGTGAGTTAATACATTAAGAGGATCACCTGAGTGGGCGTGGCTGTGAAGAGAAAGGCCTTGTCCATCCTTAAGGTGCGGAAGATGAAGTCCACGTCAAGGTGCTGCTGCTCCGTCACTTCTTGGTGGAACACAAGAAGCTCACACCACATCTTAAGGGTCATACGGATCTGCGCAGCAAAATAAGTACAGACACAAGGACAAGTTTAAAGGTATATCTATACCTCTCATAAATTTAAAAATACATATTCCAGTACTTGCTGGATTTAAGGAGAGCCAACTACTGGGGAAAGTAGATTCTATACATGAATCTTTATACATGTAGGTCTGGAGAAGTCTATGGACATACAAATGTATATTGTTGCTGCAAACTTTCAGGGAAAATCATGGAGGTAGAAGAGATACTGGAGCAGTAACGCCCCCTATTACTTTGGTCCAGTACTGCAGGTACAGCTTGCACAGTAGAGTTTCTTGTACACTGACTCATATGTATTTTCAAAACCAAGAGAGATACTCATAGCAACACAACACAAACATAAATACCTTATAAAGTACAAAAAAGCCTACACACCCAATATTCTCTATCAATTTTTCTCTTATGACTTGTCCATAATGTTGCAACTTTCAAGACTAAACTATTTTGGTGAAAACACTAACCTTGACTTTAGGGTTGTTGAGTTGTGTGTAGTACAGTCCATACAGGAGGTATAAGGCTCCCACTCTGACCTGGAAACTGTAGGGAGGCAGCAGGAAGTTCTGCACTATCTGGAAGGCCCCCTCGATAAACTGGGATTGGGAAGGAAAAATACATGAGATACAATGTTATGACTAGGCTTTCAGAAGACAACTAAAAGTCATATAAAACACCAATTTAAAACAGACATTACATACAATTCACGAACAAATGAAAGTTACAATTCATGTGTGTACTTACCTCTTTCTGTTCCCTTGCTTCTTTTCTACCACTGTATTTGAAAAGCAAGGAGAAACGTTTTCAGTAACTTCAATGCTAAGCATTTATTTCATTTCATTATACTAGTCAATTTATACTCCTCTGGCTCCTTGTACATTACTAATAGTGTCATTTCTATGCTAAAATATGTACAAGACAAACTGTGTGTAAATATTCGACTCGTCCTACATGTACAATGTATTATGATTCTACGTAAGCTTTACACTTGTAGATTGAAACTAGATTCTGATAGAGAGAATGAGAGACTCACTAGTGGATAAGAGAGAAGTTGGTTTGCCTCCAGAGTGCTGAGAACTGTTCATATCTGACACTGTTGGTCTCTGTGAAGAGTTGCAGTAACCTCTCACAGTCTGTTCTCAGACCCACCGCTCCGGACATGCTGACTGATGCTCCTACAGCAGTATAGAAATAAAACTTTATTACACAGTAACTGTATTGAATAGCCTACAATGTATGATGGCATGTTAGGAACTGTCATCAATTGTAAGAATTATACTTATAGTATAAGTATAATTCTTACAATAAATAGTATAAGTTATACTAAAGTTATATAACCAAGGAATTTCAATTTCCAAGTGACCTATAAAAAACAAGATATACATTTTAACAACTAACTATTTTCTTATTTGTTGGTCATTATGTTTTGTCTGTTTTGACTTTAGGAAATAGAAGTTTTCTTACTGAAATCAAGTACTAGTACGTTAAACTTTAATAAAAGGCTAGACTTGCTAAAATCACCCCCCCCCCTCCAAAAAACACACACAAACGTATTACAAACGTAACCAACACTTTCTTAGATACTATTTTTGCCAAATTATGTCAACTTAAGGCAACCTGGAGATGCAGAGTTCGTGTCCCTAAACCATGACGTTATGCACACTCGAAAAACACAATGTTTTCCGTCAGAAGTTATTTTTCTGACGATAAAAACAACACACACACTTACCTGCTCGTGCGATTTCCCGCGACCACTGTGAGGCCCCCTATATACGTGTCTTTTGCATCCACTTCTCAATGCCTGATAAATCTTTACTACATATTACCAAATAAAAGAATTTAAGTACAAAAATATACTAATGTTCTAACCATTTCTATTCAGTAGATAGCGATTTTAGTTAAACTTGTACTTTGGAGCGTATCATTGCCATATTAGTACTCTCAAAATAAAGGCCTTGATTTGTATAATTTTTGAACCGTCCGTCCCATCATTCTCTCTCCAAAATGGCTGCCGGTGGTCAGACGAAAAAATAGGTGTGGTGATATTTTTACATTTTTGGCATTTGTCTAACAACAGGAGCTACATAAGTGACCCCGTGAGTAGAACACTTTACATTCTAACGGAAGAATTATATTTCTGGCTCCATTGTTATATTATGCGTCTATTTAGCTGCATTTTTTGTTGAATATTATGCCCCCCTCCCTCCTTGTGGTCTTCGATGTCATGTACTGATGAAAATCAGTAAATATCATGCGTCAATTTGATCTCAACGCAGACATTAGAAGGAATTTGATTTTATGATGATTGCATAATAATTAATAACATTACATAAGTTCAGATAAAAGGATAATTATGATATTGTGATTACACACAGCATGCAGTAAGAAAAATCCATGTTATTCATTGTGTCCAAAAATATTATTGTCTGCTTAGACATAATTCACTCCAAAAGGGATCTACAAACTTCACAAAGGAATGTTTCTACAGCTTTCAGATATCCAGACTTTTTCACCAGGCTTATGATGGACTGCTTGGACAACCTCTCACACGAAGTGCTGTCAGACTCAGACCCTGCTCAACAGAACACAGAAATTCGCCACACTTATGCAGAAGACGACAACATTCCTTCAAGCCCCGATATTGAAGAATACGATGCCTCAGACCAGTTCAAGCAAGAAGATGTTAACTTCGAGGACACCACCTTGTCGCATAATGAGGTTGTTGTCGTTGTTGTCTCTGCTTAACATCTATTTATCCACTAGACGTGGATCCTTGGTTCCATTCTCTGCTTGGTGCTTTGTTTCTTTAAGTTGCTCTGGTACTTGTATGTGCTTTGGTGCTTTGCACATAGGTGTTTTTAACCTGGTATCCAGTCTATCATGGTCGGGACAGGTTTTCTTCGGGGTTGCAGGAGCTCTTCCCCGCCCACTTCAGCTAGGTTTCCCGGTAGGTATTTCACAATGGGAGATTGATTAGCCTGTGGGGCAAATCAACTCCCTGGCGTGCCATCTCTACTAGCGTAACACTTCCACCGGGGTGGCCTCACGCCACTGGCCTGTTGTACTGGGGAAAACTAGTATTAGAGCCCTGAAGACAGCCTGCTCCAACTACTAGTATGCCCCAACCAAGATGACTGGATACCAGGCTAATGTGTTTTGGAAATGTTGATTAATCCTCCATCTCACACCTTGTCCCATAATCACAGGTGATGGACATCGTCCGCGCTGGCGTGGCAGAACTCGTAAAGGACCCTCTGCTGTCTGACCTTCCCGCGGGGGTCACGCTGGACGAGGTGAAGTCTCAGATCGCGCTGGAGTACGGCCAGGCCATGAAGGTGATCGTGCGGAAGGAGTGCGGCGGCATCATGCCGATTGTGGTTCCTCAGGACGCTACGGTGGTGGACTTGAAACATGCCATCAGCAGGTAAATAAGCTAACTTCATCATATTCCCTGACTACAAATGTAGTTTGTGGTTAATTCTAAAGAATATAGCTATAGCTGTTTCAACTTACTGTCAGAACTACTGGACTTAAAACACATTGGCAGGTAAACTTGTGCTTCTGTAAACTTGCATCCTGGCCCAGCCTGGGTGATGCCTTTCTAGCTTTAGTAAACCCTCTCTATTCCAGGGAAGTACTTAAGTTAAAAAGGCTGGCATCAAAGCAAAATTTATCTAGCAGGTCAAGTATACCTGCCACTATGTAAAAATAAAACTTAGTCAAAAAAGATCTCTAATGCAATGTCCCAGTAAAATGCACTCTGTGTATATCTTTGGGGTGCTGCACTTGAAATCAGTCAAAACACACAAGTGAATGGTAATGGAAGCTATGATGACATTATTTGATGTAGAACAAATCAATTTTGTATCACAGTAGAGGAACTTGTACTTGGCCTTCTCATACCTTTACATCAATCTTTTTGCCCGCTCTAACTAATAATCCACAACAATCTGTCCTGTTGTTCACCAGGTACGTCACACTGAAGCAGACCAGAGAAGGCGGCACCACACAGATCAGCTGGCGTTACATCTGGAGAACCTACTGGCTCACTTTTGACGGTGAGAAACTCTCACAAAACAACAAGAAACTCAAGGACTACGGCATCAGGAACAGGGCAGAGCTACGCTTCATAAAAAGACTCAGAAGCAAAGTGGAGGGAGTTTGAAAAGAACTGATGTAACATCCGTGTCCATGATATCACCAGGGTCCATAATATCGCCACCTTGAGAAATAGTGTGCTTAAAGACATATATTTTTACTGCAACATACCCCAGGTATGTACATTTGAGGTGTGGAGGAGTGCATACCAAAAGTATGTTGCTGTAAAAATATCTTCAAGCACACTTTTTCTCAAGGTGGTGATATTATGGACCCTGGTGATATTATGGACACGGATGTTATATTGTTGTGAAAAGAACTGTACATTTTGTAAGACAAGTTGTGCAATATTAAGTTCAATCTGGTTGAACCTACTACAAATGTAGTAACTTGGGACTGTAAAAAGGTCAATCAATATGTAAAGAAAACTGGATAAACATGAGTAAACATATGAAATGACTTGAGCAATGTTCAACTGAACTTACAGTTGATGCAGCCATTTAGGAGGGAGGATAAGTTTGTCGTCTCAGTTCAAGAAGACTGACAACTGGTTCTTTGATGTGCAGTATTGCGACATGGACTGTCACACATACCTATTTTTACAAAGTTCAGTACACTTATATCTGAAATTTGATTCAAAGGATAAGCCATACCATCCTCTGAATTACAATAACACTTTATTGATATAAGGTGAAGTATACAACTGCAGATTCAAGTTTAAACTAAGTGTACACAAAATAGAATATTATTGTTGTAAATAAACACTACATTTCATAGATGGTGGTAGATTGCTGTCTTACTTGTAGGCATGGATTAAATCAAAAATAGAGGGAGTGGATCACTTTGTGCTTGATATTCTGACATTGTATTCAGCCTTCAGCTCTTCAGATGCTTCAAACTCATACACATCCGTGAGTTCGTGGACAGTACAGTTTGTCTGAAAACATCGCCACTTGTTGGTGATCTGTTGGATTTTTCTTGTCTATAGCAGTCACCTCTCTAGTTCAAGTCTCATGCATAGACACATTGACTGTATTTCACTTTGCATTAACTTTATTAGGGCTTCAAAGGTGGCTCTTAACATTCTACAACATAAACATCTACAACATAAACATCTAGTGAGAGAGAGAAAGGATAGCATTGCCATCAAGAGTATGACAGTATTATAAGGATACATCTTATTGACTTTGGTCCTACAACACAGAAGAAGTGGACATACCAGTAACAGCAATCACAAAAACATTGATTTAGTGTTAACATTTTAATGGTCATTGAAAAGAATACAGTAATGCTGTCGTTCTTGGTAAATACTGGACAAATAAAAGCTGTCTTTTAATATTACACAAAACAAGTGGACGAAACACTACAAAACTTATGTACGGTACTGAAGGTGTGTTATTGCCATTTTAGTTACTGTGATGATAACTGTTAAAAGTATTATCTATATCCATTTTATTAGGGTGTAGAGCTAAATTGTTTTATGTGGTTGAATAATTACGTATATGCGTCATCAAAGAAGTCATTTTATGATCACAGATGACAAAGTTAAGTAAGGCTATTGATAGACTGGTCTTTACAACACAAAACATTAAGGAACAACTTAAACATTAAAACATCACCTTTCCACATTGAAACATGACTTTTTAAAAAGTAGAATAAAAATAAGTAGAATGGCTAAGTCATCAGCGCTAGCACACATTTTCATACAGCTTACATAATATTTAACCTTGTTTGTCCGTGGGTCTATTTCGTACACCAAGGTTTGTATTAGTTATAACAGTAAGCGAGACAGTAAGGGTTAAATTACTTTGTCCTGCTATAAGCAAAGCAGTAGTAATGTTGACAGCTACAAAAACAGTGCATATACCAATCTCCTTGTGTTTGCCATTCAGTCCTATTTTGGCTAAGGACAGTAACTGTGTTCCATTTGAAAACATAGTGACAAAGTGGCACCATATAAACTTTTCTTCTATTTCAAATCCCCCACCCCCTCCCTCCATGTAGCTAGCTTGTACCATTCTAGTGTAGCCTGCCTCTCTCTATTATATCAGAATTTTTTATCACTATTAAAAGCAGCCATGCAATAAATCTGACTTTGTACAGGGCACCAAAACTTTTCAACTTCTGACTCCATCCCTGGATAGACTGAGTGTGTATGGCAGGCAAAATTTTAAAGCCAGTATTAGCTTCTCATTCAGAGTGCATAGAGTGTCCAATTCACAGAAGTGGAGGTACAAGTAGTACATTTTATGTAAGTGCAAGAGAAAAAGAATCTGATATTGTATGGCAATGTTTCTTCCACGCACACACGTACTGGAAATTGAGTTTTGACAACACTATGCCCTTCTTCAGTGTTACATGTATCTACAGAATATAATACAACATGTAGTATCTACAACACTGATATGTATCAGATCAGAAGTCAAAGGTACCCCCCCCACACCAAATGGTATCTTCCTTACACATGATGCATCATTTCATAAAGGTTGATTTTGTGGATTGTATGTATTTTCAAAAATTCATAAAACCCTCTGATGAGAAATTACAGTAATGAATGAAAACATTTGTAGTCTAATCTCTGTTTTCCTTCATTTTTACATTCTATCAAAACTTACAGATGGGAAATTTCTGGGGAAAATGAATTTAGCACATTCAGATTGCAGTCAAAATTTCTAAACAGATTTCAAATCCCTTTGTTTCAACATGGCCCTCTGACATTTTTATACTGGAAAAATGTAGCACCCTTTCTTGTAAGTCTTCACTTTGTTCCTACACTCTTGATTAACTTTTCACCAGAAATGGCAGGAATCTGTGGAAACTCAACATAAATATTTGAGAAGTCAAAAGTATACTAAATAAAACCTGATACTTTTCCAACACTACCCCCTCAAACTTTACACATCATGCTAGGTGCATATTTACATCACCTAGCAGAAAATTAGAAGCTATACATATATGCAGAGATGAATCACTTCTAAGGAGATTTGAAACACTGTTTTTCTGTGTCCAAATACAAAGATACAAACTATGGCAGCTCCTGCTTTTATTATAAAATTCATGGTGCAGTATTTGTTAATTGCACTCTTTTATTTTATTTTGAATAGAAGGCTGTTGAATGGCCAAAAGATATATTTCTAGATCAATAATAAGATGTATAAGCTGTCATTTTTGTGACTCTGGCTGTGGACACAGATGTACATTGTACAAGCATTTCAAATGTACTGTTATTATCTTCTGGCTTCTTTAAAAACTACATCTTAAGGATAACAATAGGAACATCCCACCGGAAGAGTTTGGTGAGCATCCCTGTCAAAAGAAATTACAAAATGAGGGACTTCAGTGCCGACTGTAACTATGTCTACCTTTTTTATTATTCCTGTAAAAACAGCACAAATCTTAGCCATTCCCTGATACGAACTGATCAGAAATTTGAGTTCAATCTTTAAGTGTTGGAGGTTACTTTCCAAAAAAATGTTAGGATAAGGACTTTGTCTAACACAGATGAACTTTGAGGCTAAGTAAAATCTAAGGTATGTGTATGCAAGGATGTTATATTGACGTATACAACACCCTTGGTGTAATCTTATTTTTAAAATGGATTCACATTTCAAGAAACAGTGGACAAGTGTCCTTAGATTTAGAAGGACAAGGACAAAATCGAAGTTTTTACATGAAATAAGAATTCCATATTGCGACAACGTCACTTCATGAAATGAAACACTAAATTTTCACTGGTTTTACATAGTTACAGTCTGCATTGTATTACAAATACAATGTACCATAAAAATGTGGTTTAAGTTACAAAATATCATCATCTGTACAAGTTGGCTGCTACAACTACTCCCGTCACCCCCTGCTGTTACTTCTTGAGCTGATGCGCTATCCATTCTAGACCCTGGTACAACCTGGGGAGGGAGAGAGAAAGACGTAAGATCAACAATCACAGTAAAAAAACTGTAACACTCCCATTATACAACAGCTACATGGAACACCAAATGTAGAGATGGTATGACCACATGACTGTTATAATATCCAGATGAATTTTAAAGCCACAGCCATCTTACACTTGAAAGGCAGTTTTTGACCACCACTGGACATATGTTCCCCTAATGTCTAGGGCTGGTTTTGTCATGGCCCAGTGCAGGTCAGGTGCAGGTACCGGTAGAAATACACATGCACAACTGCAGTTTCACTTGCGCTAAATTGCATACACAGCAGGTGAAATTTTGACCCATGTAATGGGATTTTTTATAAGAAATCTGAAATGAAGTACAATTTCAGAAATGGGTTGACTAACCAAATTCCTTATCTCGATCTTTCACAACTGAAATGCGTGTCCCTTTTCCAAGTAAATCACAGTTGTAAATATTCATAGTAAATCTCCTTTGGGATTTAATATCTAGTTCACAACTCCTGAAGGAGTCAGTGACCCAAAAACATCAATGACCTTTTCTTCTTACAGTAATAAATTCCCACAGAAGGCAAGTGCTATGGTATACAGGTAATATTTTATTCCACAAAAAATTAATTATTGAAATGGAAAATTGACCACGAAATAGTTTGTGCTGTCCGGTCAAGACGTTCTAAAATAGTGTTATTTTCAATTTTTGGGGAAGATTCATGAAGATTGTCTCCAAAAAAATACCCCTACTCTGGTTGAACGACAGTGTAGGGGTCTAAATCACAGCATAGGGGGTCTATATCACAGCGTAGTGGGTCTATATCACAGCGTAGGAGGTCCAAATCACAGCGTAGGGGGTCCAAATCACAGCGTAGGGGGTCCCTATACTCAAATAGCCTAGTGAGAACTATGACTATTTGTCTAAGAATCCAGTACTCACCCCTCCCCTGTTAATGCACAGCAGGCCTGTATGTGCCAGCCGTGGCCCTTTATCGACGTGAGGTTGAGTTGTTGGGAGATCTCGGCTGGAGACATGGAACCCTTCAAGTCCTGCTTGTTGGCAAAAATCAAGATGGCCGCCTGTCTTAAGTCCTACAAACAGAGAACATGGTGGGGTCAAGGTCGTATCAGTCATTCCTGTCATACTTTGCTCGAGCAGGATTTGGTTTTAAATCCTGTGGTATTTAGCAAAACATGCCTGCCATAGCTGAGGTGGAGTCCGTGTTTTGCAGGTAAAATACAAAAACCTGAGCAAATAGAGGCTCTCAAGTAGGTATTGCTCACCGTAGCATATTATACATAAAAAACTTTGACTAAAAAAATCACAGGATGCATACATCATGCTTATATTTGTGAAGTCTATGAACATTTGTACATGTAGCAGGGCTGGAAATAGCCCATGTATATGCAGGTTAAGTACTGCAGGTAAAATTGGAGCTGGTGCAGGTAAATTTTCAATATTTCCTGCACAAGTGCAGCTATACAAAATGAGTACATGTACTAGTATTTTAAGCCCAGTGTAAAATACCCTTAAGGCAAGGAAAGGCCTCATTTTCTTTCATTCAAGCAACAAATCTCCAGTTCGTGATAATACCTGACTGCTATAGTGCCAGGGTATGTTTAAATACATCAACAATTTGCCACACATGCACTTAGATGTCCCTACAAGTTTTTCAAATACATATTTGATAAGCCCTACATTCCAGCAATATCACACCACTTTGGTTGAACAATAACCCTCACTGCCAAGGTCAAGCTAACCACAAAGTTCACCTCCGGGTACCACATTGTCACCCGTGTCATTTCAAGCACGAGTTGCTAGGATACCAGCACTCAAACACACTGGTATCCTTGTTGGCCTTTCCGCCACAGACTTGAATTTATAGGTGCGTGTTATACTTGAAATTTAGACTAAAATAGCAACAGGAGTATTGGAGTGGGCTGTTAAAAGCACACACGCCAAGTGTCGTTAAGGGCTCTCAAGAATGGAGCAAAGTCCGTGTTGGATCAATGGGGATTTAACTATGGGGAAAAGATCAATTGTGGTGTGTTTGGTGCACTGAACAACGCTAAACAACTGGAGTTTTAATTTGTAGATTTTCAGTAACATTTAGCAGACTTCAAGGGATGACTTTCTTGATACTGTCTTCTATACTACAATTTAGTACAAAACTCTTGGCAGAATCTTCAAGCGTTTCAAGATCAGGTTGATAGATTGCCTTTGGAAAATATTATTCTTATGACACAATCTAAAACACTTTCACCTGGTCAACATTTCAGCTAACTTGTCAGATGCCTTTATTAAGGTATAATCAATTCTATTTCACACAAGGCTTGGCTGAGTATGCTATGTATAACTATAACCTAACTAACTTAAACCATGCTTACCTCGTGGGCTAACATCTTGTGCAGTTCTTCTTTTGAGATGGGTAATCTTTCTCTGTCTGTGCTGTCGATGACTAGAATCAAAAACTGCATGGGACAGAAAAGAAAATATATATTATTAGATACATAAATAATCTATAAAAGTCTATTCTAGATGGTAAGTAAATTTTCCTACCCTCCCCATCAATATTATAATATCTCTACCTGTTTCTTCTTACTAATATTACGTTGATTACTTCATGCATACTAGTACTAGTACATATGTATCCTAGCTTTCCCCCTTTCAACTCTTGAAACAGAACTTCAACCATCCTTATGGGTGTCACAAGAGATTTGAATTAAGTTCAAACGCTTCAGAATTAAAAAAGGTGATTAGACTTTGTATCATCTCCACATACTTGCAGGCAACAATCACGGCACTAAACATTTACATAAAACATAACCTTCGAACCTTCTATCTGCATCAAAGTGAACCTTAACCACAAGTCTTGCATAATTTCTATTTTTGAACAGACGGTAGTACAGAATACACAGTTGTGGGGTCGTGTGGCATAATGGCAGAGCTCAGAACCAAGAGGTCCCAGGTTCAGATCCTGCCAAGTCACCAACCTTGTGCCCTTGAGAAAGGCACTAGCCTCCGTAGCAGACTTATAGAACTGGGGGTTTGGTGGTCTTCAGCTGCTTTCTGGTTAGCCCAGTTCTACACACGGCTGTAATTCAACCAGGCCATCTATGTTGTCTATATGCAATAAGAAAATAGCAAACAAAAACTCCCAAAAACCTGAAGACCCCCAAAACCCCCAGTTTTTGGCGTGCTATGGAGGCTAACTTTACACGACTTTCCTCACTTTGCACAGGTGTTAATGACTATGCCAGAATGATCATTATCATGAATCATGATCGTGGGCATTAAAAGAAAACAGACAAAAACAAAAACAGACCAGACCACTGCCCTACCTGTGCATTAGTATAATATGTGTTCCATGATGCTCTGAGTGATTCCTGGCCCCCGATGTCCCACATGACGAAGTGGATGTTTTTCCAGATGATTTCCTCCACATTACTGCCGATGGTTGGAGACGTGTGGACCACTTCATTCATTAGACTTGGGGATAGAAACAAGGAGACATGATGTTTTCTCTTTTGCTATACGAGCTAGACATCAGAAATGCTTGTACAGCTCTAAATTAATTTTACCTGCATATACAGGTGGTATTTTGAATCAGCCTATATATAGCTAGCTATGTAACCTATTAGTACGTAAATAAATATTGTATGATCAGCAACTACTAGTATGTAATCTCTCTCCCAATTATGTAACACAGTACTCAGTAGTCCAAGTTTAGCTATTTTTAGTTTAAATATCAAATATGTAAACAAGTAATCAAAACTGTACAGTAGGCTATAAGGCATGTATGGTATTTACATGTTTTGAAAATGGTTGTATTTTTCTAATTCAATAACTATAGAGGTGAAAAACTGTAGATTTAACAAGTGAAAAACTGAGAAAAGGCAGAAAACTGAACATCAAACATGAACAATACTTACAATTGATACAATATCGTTGTCTTGCCTGCATTGTCTAGACCTGTTATTATTACTTTGTGTTCTGCAAAAAAGATAAAGAACAGATATTCATATTTTCATATCTGCAACACATCCAACTTAAACCATTGTGACAAAGCCACAAATACAATAGATTGTCTAGCTTCAGATACATTGCTACTAGTTTTGACAGATGATCGTTAATCAAGTACTATAAACATGTACATGTATTTCAAAAGGTCAGAAACACACTGGAGAGAAACTGCACGCAAGTATAACAGGCTATAAATTTTGAGGGGGTAACACCCTTGTATTATCCTGGGTGCCACCCTCAGTAGTATTCGCCCATGGTCTGGTCTTGGTCTTGGGGGTTAAGGTAGCCAACATCAACTTGCTGATGATTCTGCAACACTGAAATTGAATGGTACCTAGCGACATTAGGGAGCGGGCGAATACTACGGAGGATGGCACCCAGGCTACCCTTGTAATAGTTGTATGTCACTTATATCAACGAAAACACCTTTATAATCCAGTATTATAACACCCTAGTATAAATCTCTCTTTAATATAAAAAAAATACTGTATCAGTATCATGTGAAGATTGCCAAGGACACATATGTTACAACCCTTCCTCACAGATTAGCCTGTAAGAGTGTAACACAGTGACTGTCTGACACCCTGGTCTGACACTGAGCCAATATTCTTACACATCAGTTGACTTGTACAGAGTCTGAGATGATTGCCTTCCCTTTGGGAGATCATTACTGGGTAGATGCTACCAGGATGACACTTAAGGAATATCTGATGTTTAAGTGCACATTAAACAATGTATATGCAAGACACACGCTTTTCAATGTTGTGGTTTTCTAATGTAACTTAGGAACATAAAGAGTGATAGAAATCAAGGCAAAGATTCCAAAATATTTCAGTTACACAGCAGGGGATATTTGTAACTTGTTGCCAAGCACACATCAACACTTAAAACTTACCAAGTAATCCTAACAACTTACATGTACAATTACTACAAAGAAAGAAATCTGGAGCCCTAAGTAAAATAATTGGTCTTCTTGAATACTTTTTACTTGTCAGTGTTCGAAATACCCGTCTGCAGTCTGCAATTTGCAGATAGATTTTCAAGATTGCAGAAGAAAAAATCTTACAATCTGCAATTTTGCAGAAGGAAAAAATAGGCTTCGGATTCAATAGTTTTCAATTAGCAAAGCAGTGGCGCTGTGAATAGATCGAAAACCTGCGCCGCACGAACCTGCCGGCGTTTTCCAGCAGACTGTAATGGTCCCATATAAGGGAATTTGGGGTCAAAGTTGAACGATTTCGACAAGGCGACGAAAGGCGACGATAACCAAATATGGGCACTCGCCATTTTCCGATGTTAGATTTCGTCTCCCGGGAGGACCCGACAACTGCCTCGGCAATTTTCGGCAGTTTTCGCTGAGCATTTCCCAGCAGGCAACACGGCAAAGGAAACATGGCTCCTCCGAAAAACCACACTCGCCTCGGCGTTAATTTGCCGAAATTTCGATGTTTTTCCTTGGTATTTTGCACGATTCAAGCAAAGAAAACAAGTTGATCCCATGAACAAAAGAGAAATACAGCACTGGGAACCTAATGGTCCGTTTTGTTGGGCGGTAATTTCTCATTTCGAGTGAAAATTTACGTGCATCACAGTTGTGACCATATGGTGTAAAATCAGTGATTTTCGGCTCGATCCGAACCAAGCACGGCCCGTAGACTTGTCCTTTATGATTTCTAGATGACTATCGGTACCAAAATACGGGAAAATATTGTTGCAAAATGAGAGAGACGGAGACTAAGGTAAACTTCTTTTATTTGAAGGCTGGATTTTCATTTTCCTGGCAGGCTTCTTTGTATGTAGTGATCATCAGTTATTCAGTAACAACAAATATGGATTTTTGTTCCGGTCAAAAAAACCGGTCCACCGACGTTTCGGTTTTTGTGGACCGGACCGATAAAATTTTACGGTCCGAACATATTTAAAAGAGTGATATTTTGAAGAATTTCAGTAATGCTACAGATTTACAAAGCTATACCATTATATATATATGATGTAAAAATAGGCATTATTGGTTTCAGAAGGTTGTGATATGGGGGCTTGTGTATTTGCAGAAAGTATTTCCAAATTGCAGGACGAAATTTTGACTCTTCTGCAATATTGCAGAGCACTGATAAAAAGTATTTCGACCACTGCTTGTAATTACCAACAGACAACATGGCCTTAGGGAGGTCAGCATAGACTACTACTACTAGTACTTATGGGCCTTTAGTTCTTCTTAACATGTAATTTATTGTAACATTTGTGTGATTTCATCTTTCAATATTTGCAGCATAAGATCTTACTTTTAAAAATCTTTGAATGCCAAGGTCATTCCTAAACAGTAATTTACTAAAGAGTCTATGTTTCCATACAACTTGACTGTATCCGGTATTAACGTATCAACCAGTGTTGAAAAATGTCTATCACACTTGCACTCTTTTGTTTATTAAAGCCTATAAATGAATGAAACTGCAAGGCAGCACATTCTTATGTTATTTGCTACTGTGTGAGTGAAAGGTAAGCTAAAAATTGACGTGCCGTTTTTTTTTCTTAACCGGTACTTGCGTCAGTTTACTTTAAACAGGTGATGCCATGACGTCAGAGCTCCCTATGACACACATGGCCGGTGAGTGGGAGGGGGGTTTCCGTTGAGCAGACCCTTTTCACGTTTTCTTTTATCTTTGTAAATCACGTTTTCTACATTTTTCAGTGAATATAGTCGTCAATTTAAAGGTATTCTTTAAGATTTACAATATAGAATAGCTCCCAAACCCGGATTTGTTGTGGTTGATACGTGGCAAACATAGGAAATAGGTTAAACCAATACGTGAGTTGCAAGGTGTTAAAATAAACGTACAAAATACATTTTGTAGTTCAAGATATAAGCAAGCCAATAATTTATTTGAGTACATTGGGAATAATTTGGTAATCATTCATAAAAAGAAAATCATTGTTATACCAATAAGAGGTGAGGATAGTTTTTGGCGAGAGGGTGTCAAAACTAAATTGTCAAACGAAACAAGACCAAATATGGAACCGAAAACACGCCAGATGTGATGATATTGTTTATATAACAGACCTTCTCTGGTCTATTGTCGGAAAACAATATACTAGTACTTTGTTATGATAATAAGCTGAGGGGGACATTCACTGGGTAATTTCTGCAGTGAAGGTGTCAAAACCGGCATTTAAAATTTTAACAGATAAAAGAATTTTTAAAGAATGGAAGAAAAAAATGATTGACACATACTAGTAACCTTAGCATTTTACAAAAGAATAGGGAATGTTGAACAAAACATCAAGCAAAAAAACGTGACACTACACCAAAACAGTACGTAATATTTAAACTAAGTTAGATTTAGAGATGAACTTCAAACACATCAAAATCTAGGTCAACATACGTCTCACACACACACACATAATTCCTTACCTTCGTTATTGAAAAGACTCCATAATTTTGAAAAGAGAAACCCCATCGCCTGATAGGTGTGTCGGCTGACGGGGGAAATGTCCAGGTAAACAAGCCACAAGGGAAAGGGGGAAAGTCCCCAGGGGAAAAAGCAACTGTCACCGTTGAAAAATTCTCAACACAACGGTCCAGCTGGGCCTTCGTACTACTTTACTCCTCGCTTCACACCGAATTTTGAGATTCTGACGACTTCCACTTGTAGATCGGACTGGCTACGTAGCTTCCGGAGTTATTTCCGACGGGTTTTCCCGGTGAAAGTTCGTAGAAACGCCCAAAGGTACAGAAATGAGTAACCGGAACAAAAAAAAGTGACACACTCGGCTATTGCCACATTAAATTTACCAGCGCATGCGCTCTGTGCGTTCGGTGTGGGTCTCGCTGATTCTCGCGAGGTTGGAGTATACCAAGTCTGCAAAGGGGAACACGTTTACTTTTTAAAGAATGGAAGTCCTATTTTTTTAGATTACAGATTTATGAGACTATTAAAATAAATACATCTCCAATGAACCTTCCATGGAAAAATCGTTAAAAACAAGTGAAAACAGAAAGGTTCAACGCAATGTCCAATTGGCCAGGCAAACTGTTCTCTCCAGCAGAACAACTGCCCTGGCATGTTACCTCTCTATTTGGCGGATTTCTACTCTTTCCAGCCGCCTCCCGAAGCCTGGTAGAGGCTATAGAACGGACACTAAAAATGCAAAGAGACGTAGACAGACAAAACAATGAATCCATAAAAGAAAATACTCAAAGAACTTTATTGATCTACTAAAATCACAAATTATACAAATAATTCAACCTACGACTACTCTTTCTAAATAGGTCTGTCAAGCAAAAATCAAATGAATATTAGAATACTAGTACACGTATCATACAAACATGATAGTTCCGGTAATTCACGGTAGTAATAAATGGAGGTTGTGGTCTAAACTATAAGCTTATCAGCAGTTAAGTCAGACTGGGAACAAATCTTGGTGGTTGCCAAACCTAAAGAAGATCAGAGGAATAGCTGTATAACTTGTTTGACTTATAATGATGTTATGATTCGAGGTGATATTTCTCTGACATCCATTTTGCTATCATATCGTGATGACTTGTTTGACACACTACTGAGTCATATGAACAGTGAGGATAATGACCCATGATATTGTCAGATTGCTATCCTAGTGTCCGAAATAATAATTAAATAGAAATACGGTATTAAATGTAAAATGAACCATTGGTCACGAGAATCCTACTGTGCATCCTCACAGTTGCAGAATGTAAGATTCAATTACACTTATTTCAGTACAGTTGATAATGACATTTCGGCCATTTCAACTGTTTTCTAAAGTTTATCATGCAACAAATTTTAACCGTCGATCGTCATGATGGCAAAAGTAAAAGTTCGTAATCTTTGAATCCTCTTCATATCCGGCAATCCAATAGTCTTTGCCATTTTCTGTGAATTTGCCTTCCCATTCAATAACTCCGCTAACTTCAGGTTGCGACCTCCCCATACTCTTTGATTCGTCGTATGCCCTCAGACAGTATTCTGCAAGACGTTCGTCTGGCCAGACTGCCGGATCGTAGACAGTTTTCACGACTGGCTCAAACTTGAAAAGAAGTCCAAGTCTTTTACACTTTATGGCTCTCAAATGTTTGGTACATTGGTCACACAGCTTCTTGTCAGTCGCGAGTCGATTGATGCAGTCACAGAATGTGCATTGGGACCTTTCAAATGTCTTCATATCATTTGGTACAGTTTGTTGTCCTTGAGCTTCCCTTTGCCCCCTTTGCCTGCTCTGCCTCCTTTGCCTCTTTTGGATCGTTTTTGGATTGTTGGTTGGTGGGTCAACGTCGAGGCGACATGTCAGAAGGACCCTGTACACCCCGTCGGGAAGGTCGTCTGTCACAACTGCGGCGACGATCAACCCCTTGGACTGAGCTTCCAACAGGTAGCGGAGGTCGTGACAGCCAGTCACATCGTTCGTCTTCGTAATAAACGTGCGATTGTGCTCGAAAGCGCGAGGAAAGTGAAAATACTGTTTCATTTCGTCCATTTTCGTGTTGGCGGCCATGACGAACAGAAGAACTCAGTTGGCGCTGTCAATACTTCCTCCTCGGGAAGATTCATTATGTAACTCATCCCTACCTACTGACTATTGTAAAAGTATTAATTGGTGTGTGCTAGATTGACCTTGGCCTCTTGTGTATATAATGAACAGTCCCTGCACACCTGTTTGACGTAATCGATCACCGGGCAACATCGTGTGAGTGGCACCAATGGCGTACAATGAACCAGTCATGTGACGTGAAAGTCAGCGCGTAACCTACCTGTTCTCTGTTTCCTAAACAAAAGGTGTTTGGCGGACATGTTTCTCTGGCGTAAGTAACTTTCTGCTGGGCGGAGAAAACTGTGGATACGACATGATGGAATCCGATTCCTGGGAGGACAAACTAACATGTACATGGAAAGGCGAAGGGCAGTTGGACATCATGGGGTTTCCCGAGGATATGCCCATGTGTCTGAAGTGCTATTTAAGCTCAATTAAGGCAGGAAAATGGCCACGGGCTTTGTACTTGATCCAGGAAGGAGAAGGGCACTGCTTCCTCAGTGGAACTGGGATCTCATTTCCAAGAGACTATGAGTCGTCCAGCAGTGACGAAGACGGCCCAGGCAGAGGACCACTACCGGAAGACGAGGTCGAATTCTTTTCGGGACGTTTCCCCAAGAACAGACTAAAAAGACTTTTGTTTCTGCGCACAGTAAAGAAGTGTTTGTCAAAACGTAGGGAAACACACGGCCCGGGCCCCGTCGATGGCGAACAGCAGTTTCTACATTACTTAGAAGAAGAAGAGGAAAAAGAAAAAAGATCAGAGCTAGATACAGAATTGACTGAACCCGGAAGTACAAGTATGTTGACAAACGTTTTCCACCCTTTTGACAAATTTACATTCATTTTTACAAATTGCTTTGAAATAAGGTGCCATAAAGTACTGGGCTAATGGAGCTGTTGTTTTCTCAGCTTATTCGGCATTTTTTTAAGCAACTCCACCTGTGGTTATATGCACTACCCAAAGCTTCAGTCCATTTTTTTTAATTTTCCCTTTGTCACTCCGTAAATACAAACTCCACGTATGTAAAGATTACCCTTTGACATCTTGTTGTAGGCCCCAAGGAAAGCCTGTCGTCGGAAAGTTCCATGAAAGGGAAAACAGTTGAGGTACCCCAACGCGAACTGGAAGAAACAACGGAGAAGACTGTCCGTGCAGGTATGTTCTTTTATATTATCTTAAAAAATGTATTTGAATATTGAAACGTTAAATGCATGTATAGACTACAGTACAATGGACTACATGTAGTTAAGAACAGATTTTGTTCTTCCATCAAAAGAACAGATTTTGTTCTTACATCGGAGCCTATGAAAAGCTCAGACGTCATTATATATGGCATTGTCTATTAGTACATTTAGTATTACTCCAATCGGAAATTTCAAGTTTGTAATTTTTGTGTTTTAATTACAGAGAAAACACACCACGAAAAGCTACGGAAGCACCACCGTCGGCTTAAGGGCACCATTCGTGCACACCACATCACCGGCTGTCTGAAAGAAAAGGGTGTTTTGACTGACGATGATGTGGATAAAATCTACGACAAGGCCGCCCAAGAAGAACGGACAGAACAGCTGCTGTTTATCCTTGCTAAACGTTCGTCATCTGCCATTGAAGCTTTCATACAGTCCCTGAAGGAGGTCCAAAGACAAGGAACATGCCCGTATGAAGACATCGTACAACTATTGGAGGGAGCTGATCCTAAACAAGGTACGTAAGGAAAACTTATTAACATAAAACTGGAGCAAAACTAGCGGACGTAACACACTGTGGCTTCTTGGTACCCTGGGGAATGTAAGGCAGTGTTCGGCCACCAGTTGTACACACAATTTATTATGTAGGGCGCATAGGGTACACATTTGGGGCGACCGAGTGCTATCGGTGAAGTGTGAGGCATAACCTCGGCGGTTATATTTTACGTTTTACTTTTTTGTTCTAGATGCTGCTGTTGAAGAGCGTATCGACGACAAGAGTAGATTCGTCCCTAAACTAGAAAAAGGTCCAGGTAAGTACAGAAGGCGCGCGCGCACATACACACACACACACACATATATATATTTATGTCCTACCTGGGCCGCGATTACGTTCGATACGGGTGTTCCGGCCCGTGTGATAACTAGCGGTACAGCCCGGGGGTTCTTTACGCGTACGGCCCGGGCCTTCCAAATGTTCCGTGGAACGATATTCGAACGCGTTTCGGCCTAACCGTGTGCACCGATTTCGAAATTCGAATACAAAACTCGGACGTTGGAATTGATGTTGTCGCATTTTTTGGGTTTAGGGACAACAAATTTTCGCTCATTTCGCATTGAAAGGCGCGTTTTCTTGGGTGGGTATGACATAAATAAAATACAACACGGTGTATTCCGCATCACCCTCGGTACCTCGGGCGATACGGAATACACCGTGTTGTATTCTATATATATCTAGAAACACACACACACATATATAGAAACACACACGCACAAATACACACGGACACATACATGCACATACACCACCGTACACACATATACTAAGTACATATTCAGACACACACACACATACATACATATACACCACCGTGCACACACGTACATATTCACAAACACACACAAGCACACACACACATAGACACACACACATACATACACATGCACTCACTCACTCACTCACTCACTCACTCACACACACACACACACACACACACACACACACACACACACACACACACACACACACACACACACACACACACACACACACACACTCACACACACACAGACACACACACACATAGACGTACGTAGTGCTCGCTCAACTACTTAAGATACAATTATTTGTTAATTTGCAACATATCTACGTAAACCTATAGCTAGATGAGGTGCGAGAATTTTTCCTGTAAACAAATAAACAAATTCTAGTCCATTCGTAGAGTAAGCAACATCCATAAGAATATGTTACTAAACGTTCGTTCCATATGTTTTCTGTTCCCTGTAGGCCAAGCATCACATGTTGACATCCAGGACCTCATCACCAACAACTACGATTTACTCAAAGAAAACATAAACGCAATGAAAGTGATTCCCCATATGATTCACAAGCGGGTTTTGGAACGGTCAGACCAGGATAAGATATTCCGACAGTCTATTCTAGACAGTGATTATGCAGAGAGTGAGGCGCTTCTGGATATGCTTTCCAGAAGGAGGTCGTGTCACCCTGCCTTGTTTTTAGACATATTAAGGATTGAACATCCAGATATTGTCGAAAGGCTGTCAACAGAGGTATCCTCCCCAAAAGCCATCATCAGCCGGCAGAAAGATGATGCAGGTAACATTCAGCAAAATTTTGCGAGTTATCATTTTACAGTGCACTGAGATTCATTGATTCTTATATCACACTGGTATATTTGGACAAAATGACTTTGTAAAGAGGTTAGACACTGGCCAGTCTCTTTGTTAAAGATACATGCATATAGTGGTACATGTATTGTATAATGACGTTCGTATCATCCTAGCATGGTTCCACCACTTTTCAGTTCTCTCCAAGGATGTACGACAAATCATGTAAATCATTGATATATCAAATTGTATGTCATTAGACCTTGCAAACACTGATGCCTAGCTTGTCATACCCTTTTTTTTAAATTCACCTTGAAAACAATTTTTTTAGGTCCGTTCTACAGGATGACCCACAAATCCCGTGGAACCGCACTGATTTTCATAGACGCAGATCTTGACACCTCTGCAATGAAGGAAGAATCAGGTTGGTTTATTTCTTATGTCATGTATGAGATGTTAATGTTCGGACCCTGTCCGTCTTTGAATTTTTTTATTATTGAATTGGTTGGCAAAAAATTATGCGACGATTCCTCTAAATGGCAATTCTATGACTAGCGTCGCTTTCAACTGGCCTGTCATCACAATTATTTTACATTATCTTTATCACATGTAAAAGAGAATTCCCAACGCAGAGATGAGTCATTTACTGTAACATAATATCCAATAGATTTTGTTTCTCTTCTTCTGTAGCTCAAGCAAATCACAGTCCATTGATAGAGTAAGTCGACAGTCTTTTACAACTGAAATGCAGAAATCTCTGCCTCGTATTTTATCTTTCAGAGTTACTCGCAGACGCCTTCAAAAGTTTGCATTTTGCGACGAAAATTGTGAGAGATTTCGACTTGTCGAGTGCAATCCAGCCAGGAGGTAGAGTTGATCAGGACTGTCATGTATTTTGTTGCATATCTGATATCCCACACGGAATGATTCATGACATTGTCAGGTATCAAAGTCGTAACGATAAACCAATGCTGATTTTCTGTCATATACCTGCAAGATTAAGACCCAACCCTATGAGTATGTATATGTTTTTCGAAGTAGTAGATCATGACAGCCAAGATTGTTATCTCAGCCTGTCCAGTAGTCCAAACTACATCAGAACACTGGCTAAGACTCTGATAGAGTATGGAAAAAGCGAAGATTTTGTGTCTATGATGTCAAAAGTTTACAGCGCATGTGACAAGTTTTACTGCCATGACGGACTGAGAAAGAGACTGTACTTCCCTCCTTAGTCACGCTAGTATACTGTATTATCTATCCTGTGTCCTGATGATGAGCCAAAACATTATCTTAAGATGTGAATATTGTCGTAATGAATGATTACTATTACAAACATATATATCTAAAGTATGAATGCCAATGTTTATACAAATAATTTTGGCACAAACAATTTTGATAATGCAGGCTACCAAATTCCAATAGTTTGACTTCCCGAGGAGGGTTTATAAAGAGATCTTAACCTCCTCGACTAAACACAAACGAGCAAGTGTATTTGTACTTGTGTATGAACAATATTGAACGTTACTAATTAAGTTAATTAAGGCAATCAAGTCAGGAACAGTAAAAAATTATCATCGTTATTCTACATGTCATCAACACAAGACTATGTTGCATATTGTACTACTAGTATTCAAGAATTACAGTCTCAGTCAAGGGATGGCTTACATGATTAGATGTGAATAAGCTTTTACACTGCCAAATATTGTATTACATTGTAACACAATATTTCATCTGTAAATAGTCAGTGTAAATAGTGTTTGTAGCGTTTTTGTATCCTGCACCAATTTTCACACTGTACATTTTCGGACTGACTTCAGTCACCTAGAACCACCAGTATTTGTCTAGCAACAATTTCACTATAATGAGTAAAATATATTTTATGTTTCTATTGTAAAGATTGCTAACAGACCGTGTTTTAGAAACGTCACTGATTTTGATTTTATATATGTCATTCCAAAGTGTTGTGTTGAGCTGTGCCTGTTACATTAAGAACATATTGTGTATAATATAATCTATATTTATGGATTACAATCCATAATCTATATACTACATGTACATATAATTGTTTGACCAAACCCCATTTACACGGTCAACTGCAATATAAAAGACAAGTTTTTGTTGATTTTAAAAAGGTCAGTTGTATCATTCTTCAAATTGAGTTGCTACCTTGTATTCAATTTCTTTCGTAATAAAAGACACCTACTGTAACCAAATATAATTGTCGCTCAATTACCATAGGCCATGCACTAAGTAGATATATGTTGATAAATTAAAATACAGTATGTTGGATTCCTTGATGGTGGGTTCAATATAGCAATTCGGTATACACTTATTAACTTGGAATTTAGCACAATGAGGTGTTGCCGTCTAGGGCGACGTCAGGTCGCAGTATACATGTGACACACAACGACTAATAACAAATAATCTAATACCTAAATCAGGGACGTACTACAAGTATTGAAACAGCTGCCGATATAACAAGAGTAATTTAAGCCACGGATATGATATGAAAGATTCTCAAAAAAAACATGTCTACCTGGATGTCCAACCTTCAACGACGAAATGAAAGATTATTCAATCCAGATTGAGAATTAATATTTTTCAATCAAAATTATCTTTCCCTTTTCTACCCAACAGTAACATATGTCATATGACAGTGTGAATAACATTTCCGTGCGTCCCAAGCGGGTGCATCTGTACTGTGACGTCATTTGATTGACAGAGAGCTTTGAGCGGGGTTGAATTACATACTGCGACAGAAATAGCAATTACAGTGGACACACGATCTACATGTACAAATCCCTGGAACAAAAAGACCATTTATACATTCACAGGACAATGACCATAGAGTGTGACAATAACAATGGGTACTTTAATAGTATCATACAATAAAGAAAATGTTTGATTGTACTTTTCAGCGTGTTAGATACAGCTGTTGGTGTCTATGACAGCTGAAGGACGTACCACGTGGTAATGTATTTGTTTTCTCCCAAAACGGTCATCCCTTTTTATTTGGTATGAATCGAAGGACATTTGGTTGACAGTCATAACACGGGGACAAATCACTAATTATCCATTGTTTAGAGTCGACCCGTTGGATATGATTTAAATAAAAACTTCCTCAGCAATGTCTCAGACGGTCATGTAAAATAAAAAGTCTCCCAGACTCGAAAGTAAATGCTCAAACAGTTTTTAAGTTGTAGGATTTCAAATAAGCTGCAAGCGTCTATCTATTGCCCCATCCTTAGAAGTTATATGACGTATCATCCCTGTCCATTAAGTGTGTCATAAACCGACTGTCCAACATGGCGACGTCTGCAGACGACAGCGGGAGGAAAGTCGTGCGACACGAGGCACACAGTGCGGAGATGTTGGGCGGTTTCCACAAGATGCGACAGAGCAAGACGCTGTGTGACGTCACGCTGTGGGCTGAGGTCAGTGCTCAAGAATTTCTTTCTTTTTCTTTCCATTGTACCCTCCCAACCTCCCGCCCTCCACCCTCCATCCTACCCTCCCTACCTCCATCCATTCCACAAAGTTAGTGGGCCGCTATGAGAGCTAGATAAAAACAATAATGAATAGACAACACATGAAACCTGTGTTTGAAACATATTATTACTTATTACATATTATTAGCAGAACCGCGTAGGAAAATTGATCTTGAAAGCCCCGTACAGAACACCATCACGGGAAGTCCTCTCTCGTCTGGGATGGAAGTCCGTGAGAAGTCTACATCGTCAACATAAAGCCATGATAGTGTATAGGGCCTTGGACAATTCTTTACCACCATATATGCGAGGGGTGTTCATCCGGTATAGAGACGCAGCCTCCAGATCCACCAGACAGAGCACATTGGACAACCTCATCATACCGAGGCCCCAACTGGAAGTGTACAGGCGGTCACTGAGGTACTCGGGGGCGACTGTGTGGAACTCCTTGCCACCACATGTACGAGCAGCCCAGTCATTGGGAACATTTAGAAGTATGATAAGGAACTTGGACTGATAACGGACTGATGATTTATTATTTATTTTTGTATCATATTTTGATTTGCACTTTGTTTTGATTTTGTATTATATTTTGGTTTGATTTGTAATCCGTGACCCCGCCCTCACCCTCGACCTTGTTGAAAAGCGGTCATTTGTAACCGAACAAGCTTTCGAGTTTAAATAAAGGCTTACTACTACTACTACTACTACTTATTGTATCGAGAATCGTCTACAGCAATTGCTGTTTGTACAGTCTTTACTAAGTAAAGTTTTCATTTTCTTCCGATATCGAACGATATCTGTGCTTCTTGTGTTCAGGAGAAGCCGTTCGCCGTACACAAGACTGTGTTGGCCTCTACTAGCGAGTACTTCTCCGTCATGTTCACATGCGGGATGAGGGAGATAGGTACGTATGCTGTCTTTCCTTTCTTCCTTCCTTTCTTCCTTCCTTCCTTCCTTCCTTCCTTCCTTCCATCGTTTCTACCTTCCTTCCTTGCGTCTTTCCTACCTTCCTTCGTTCCTTCCTCCCTTCTTTCCTTCCTTCCTTAATACCTACCTTCCTTCCATGGTTTCTACCTTCCTTCCTTCTTTGTATCCTTCCTACCTTCCTTCCTCCCTTCTTCCCTTCCTTCCTTCTTTCCTTCCTTCCTACCTACCTTCCTTCCTTCCATGGTTTCTACCTTCCTTCCTTCCTTGTATCCTTCCTTCCTTGTATCCTTCCTACCTTCCTTCCTTCTTTTCTTCGTACCTACCTTTCTTCCTTCCTTCCTCAGACCTTCCTTCCTTCCTCCCTCTCTTCCTTCCATCCATCAATCCTTCCTACTTCTCCGACTTCCTCCCTTCCTTTCATCCATCCATCCATCCATCCATCCTTCCTTCCTTCCTTCCTCCCTTCCTTAAAAAATAACTATTGATATAGTTTCTTTAAAGGCAAATCCCCTTAAGGCCCCTTAACGCAATGTCTTATTTCTTAATTTTTGTCATCTTTCGCATCTTCCATTGTAAAACAATTATAATTTTCTTCATTTTCTGCCATGCCACGCACAGATCAAGATGACATCTACCTACACGGAATCACTCTGGCCGGGTTGTCCACCGTTTTAGATTTTGTCTACACATCCGAACTCCCCGTCTCCATGGAAACCATCCAAGATGTCGTCTGCGCCGCATCCCATCTTCAAATCTCGTCAGCTCTCGCGCTGTGCGAGACTTTTCTGAGAGACGAGATCTCATTGGACAACTGTTTATACGTCATGAACCTGTGTAACACCTTCGGACTGAAGCAGCTGGCAAAGGAGGCGACGGACTTTGTGGCAAAAATGTTTCAAGATTTGGTGCAGAAGAAGAGTGACCAAATCTTGGACCTTACGTGGGAGGAATTTCTGCCGATCCTGCAAAACAACAAATTGAACGCCAGTGAGCTGCAGGTTAGGGTTGTATTCTATTCACCGGATAAGAAAAGCGCCAAGACACTGAACCTATCAAGTCAAAAGACATTCAGAGCGTACACAGATACCACAATCACAACACAGATTTTGCAAACCTAACCGAAAACGACCACAAGTTACCATCTAAATTGATGTTTGTACGTAAACCATTAGTATTTATTCGATCGGTCTGGTCGTCTTAAGAGTCTTATGACAAACCAAAATGCAGTTTGACAGCATCTAATGTACATATTGACACTGAATTTTGTCCACATAACTAGCTAAGATTTTTCAGACTGCAGCGAAATGGGTTGAGTAATTTTATAGGTCTATTTTCGCTATTGTGACGTACAGTTTTACTACATTAAACTACTATTAATATTGAATTTTCTCCCAACCATCCCTACAGATATTCCAGACGGTAGTGCAGTGGGTTGAGTACAAGTGGGAAGTCCGTGTCCTATATTTCTGTCTGTCAAATCTTTGTCGTTGTATTTGTGTAGTGCCTGCAGTTAGCTTTTTTTTCTTATTTCTAATACATGTATTTCTCCCAACCGTCCCGTTAGATATTCCAGACGGTAGTGCAGTGGGTTGAGTACGAGCGTGAAGTCCGTGTGTACGAGGCGAAGTTTCTACTGGAGGCCGTCCGTTTCCCGCTGATGACGTGGGAAGAGCTACATAACGAGGTGCTCACTACGCCCTTCGTACTGAGGGACAAGGAGGCACATAATAGAGTCGCTACAGGTATGGTATATATGCTAACGCCGTATATGTTATAATGCATTTGTCAAGAAATGTTTGAACATTTGAAAGAGAATTAAAAGTATCTTGATTGAAATCTTTGTCGACAAATACTAGTACTTCTCTCACCTAGAGCTTTCGACCAGTCACTCTGGTCTTCCTCAGTATACTGACCCAGTGAGGCTTGTCACGTGACTTCTTTAAAGTCTGACGTCAACACTGAGTCAAAGATATCTGGTAGACGATGTCGGCCTCCGTCGCGGTTGAGTGAAGGCTGATGGGTCCTGATGTATAGATAGCCTCTTTCACCCCTCTCAGGAAGTAGTCTTGTTCAGTGTCCAATGTTCTTAAGTAACACCGTCGGAGTGTCCAGTGAAACAAATTACCAGCGTTGATACTACTTACAGAGAGATTCTTTATTGACACAACAAAAAAAGTACAGAGACTTTTGTATGGTCTTCTACAACTTAACTAAAGATCTAACAAAGCTAAATACATGTGTGGATAACGTCATCTTACGTACAGAGTATACATGTATGTATGATGTAACAATAAAGGTTAACTATTCTCTAACATGTGTTCTCTAAGATCGAAACATTCTTTAATGTATTTTCCTATTTGAACAGGTTTCAGTTACCACAGCACGCCGCTGATGCACCACCTGTGTCAGAGTCCGGACTCGCAGGTCCGGGCGGACACCGAGTCGCTGGTCATCATGGGCGGCTGGATGGACGAGGGAAGGACCGCAGAGGTGCTGTTCCTCAACGACACGCTAGAGGTCCCTGACTGGGCTCGCCTCGCCAACATGCCAGGTTTGATTTTCTAACCTAGTCCCAAGTTCAGTTCAGTTCAGTTCATCCTTATGGTGACGCCATGTACTGCCTCCACAAGTCTCAAGGTTTCTACATACTAAAGTGATAAAGTTGCCACTGACAAAAGCAATTGGAAGATTTCCCCCAAGTCGTGGGTCGTGTGACGTAGCGGCAGAGTGCTCGACTCGAAACCGAGAGGTCCCGGGTTCGAGTCCAGACATAACACCGATCTTGTGCCCTTGGGAAAAGCACTTTACACCACTTTCCTCACTTCGCTTAGGTGAAAACAAGGAGGTTATTGTCCCCTGTGTTGTTGGTGGTAAAAAAGTGTAACATAGATTTTACTAACTAAGAATTCAAAATGACTTTAAGATGGCTATATGTGTTACCTTTTGAACTCAAATGCTTTCATATCTTTAAAATGTTTGCATATTCTTAAACGATCATTTTATATTTTCTTGCTCTTTCCTCCAGTTGCTAGGGCGTGGCACACCGTGGTGATGATGGACAACTTTGTGTACGTGCTGGGCGGGTTCGCTAAAGGCGTGCTGTGCGCCTCCGGGCTCCGCTACGATCCCAGGTTCAACAGCTGGATGAAAATAGCAGACATGTGGGAGAAAAGGTTCGTCAATCGTCATGTGTTTTCCTGCTTCTCAAACTATTGTTGTCTAGCCTGGATGCCATCCTATTTGTATGACGGACTCCCATACTCGCTCCCTAACATGTAGGTCGTGTGGCGTAACGGCAGAGTGCTCGACTCGGAACCAAGAGGTCCCCAGTTCGAGTCATTCCACCGATATTGTGCCCTTGGGAAAGGCACTTTACACGAACTGAAGTGAAAATGAGCTCAAGTATTGTCAAACCCCTGTACAGATACGAGTTTCCAGGCGTGACTTGGGAAGGTAAGATCCTCGCCCTAGGCGGCAGCGGACTGGGAAAGGACACGGCTGAGGTGGAGAGTTACACACCTGATGTACCCTTTGTATTTACCTGATGTACCCCCCTATTTACCACATATAAACCCCTGTACAGATACGAGTTTCCAGGCGTGACCTGGGAAGGTAAGATCCTTGCTCTGGGCATCAACGGGCTGGGGAAAGACAGCTGAAGTGGAGAGTTACACGCCAGATGTAACCCCTACATTTACCTTATTTACCTGTACAGATACGAGTTTCCAGGCGTGACTTGGGAAGGTAAGATCCTGGCTCTGGCAGGCAGCGGACTGGGGAAAGACACCGCTGAGGTGGAGACTTACACACCCGACGAGGACAGGTGGAATCCCGGCACACCTCTCCCCAGGGCGACACACGGACACGCCGCAGTCGTCTTCCACAATAAGATTTACATCTCAGGTGAGGAGAGATGTTGCCAGCCTCCATCAGGCCTTTCTAGGGGATTTTTATGGATAGTAGAATTTGGCAAAAGTATTAGGTCTATAATTGGCCAGGGGCGTGTGCCACAGTAGGGTAAAATTTCCTCTTGGAATCTGCGCGGGAAAATGAACCCTATGGTGGCTACTCATAGCCAGCGTATTTAGTCTGGTAGAGGCTTTTGCGTGCATGGTACAAGCTTGTTCTATCTTTGTATTTTCAGCAAAACTATTTCAGGTTTTACTTACTAGACCAATGCTTACGTACAAATACCGTTTGAAGCACTCATCAGCAGTATTTCTACTTGTTCTTGCGATAAAATGAGTTGTAGACGTATAAATCTCATTCGTTCCGGCAAAATATCCAAGTGAATGCTTTCAGCACCAAGGAGAGGACCAGTACGTGTAGTACCTTGTTCTGCCGCATGGTGTCGTTAGTACCTACTCGTGTGATGATTTCGGCTTTACATTACTTTATCGTCAACGTTTTCATGAGGAAGCAATGTTTTCTTTTATACTTGATACATTCTCACAGGTGGCCGGAGCAGTGAAACACCAAACCTGGCCGCTCTAACGGACCTGTACACGTACGATCCTGATAGCAACACCGTCGTTCACAAGCGTCACATGAAGCACCGCAGGAAGGGTCATGCCATGTGCGCCCTACAGGGGAGACTCTACGTCCTGGGAGGGGGAGAAATAGCACCGGCGGAATGCTACGACCCCTATCAGGACCTGTGGTGGACTATTCCAGGGCTAGAGGGTCTGGGAAGGGTTAGCGCAGCGGTCATGAAAGATTTTATATATTTTTTGCCAGAAGAGTCGGTGCAAGTGGAATATTTTGACATAGACACCGGCGAAAGAACGAGAACCAAGCCCATGCCCATCAAGCGATTCGGAGCGGTGTGCCCTGTGTTCTTGTCCGAACATTTTAAGCTCAAAACGCAACACTACTACGTGTTCTTATGATTTATGTTGTACTTTAGTATATGACAAACATAATTCTCCTGAAATCTTCACAAGTATTTTGTTTTCTTCTTCACTTTCAACTATAGTTTATTAGTACGTAAACATGATGTCTATATATTGTTTGATGCTCCTTGCATGAATGTAATGTAGATGTAGGATTTCAAATTTGTACAGTGTTCAATGTTTGGGGCAGGGTGTAAAACGCATAAAGTAAGTTACTTTTAGTTTATTAGACTCATATTATAATAGCACCAACAGAGGGTTTGGAGTGAAGATTGTAAAGTTTTTAGCGGTTCCGTTAACGCGTTATTGTTAAGATGACCTACAGTTACAATACAGTTACACAGCTAGAGGAACACACGTTACGACTGCCATTATAGAGTAAAGAAAGAGAATCAACCATGTACTTTATGCACACATACAGACTACGTTTCCCATGTAAGTTTGTGTTCATTTCCTTTGTGTATCTAAAGGGACAGATGGCTAAATAGTTATAACAATAGTTTTGTTTCTTGGTAATTGTCGTTTTTCGCGGTCTTATTGTGCAAGTGCGCACGATGAAACAGCTCGTCAACGCAACTTGAAACATATCTGAAACAATGCATTTACCATAAATGTGCCGTCAGCCTCTTTTCAAAAGAGAACTACATTGTATTAAATTGAATTTGGATGTTGTGGGTGCTTGGTTTGACCTACTTTGGTACTACGCTACATGTATTTAGTATTTCCATGGTATTTCAAACATCGTTAGAAAGTTGTAACTGGAGAGCTAGTAGTATCAGAGAACTAGTGATATCAGAGAGCTTTTAATAAGTTTTAGGCTGGAAAATTTCAACAGAGGAATATTTCCTATTGTTTCCCCAAGGCGCTTTTGTTTCGCGTTGCTATAGTTGTGTAATAATGATACAGATCTAAGCGGAGTGACGCGTTTTGTCCTAAAAGCACAAGAGAAACACTGAATCTGAATGGTGTGAATTTTTACTGTGTACTTTCCAATCAGTCAAGATTACTAGTACTCAGTCTTTTTAGTATGTGTAGCTATTAAATGCTTCTATTGTCTTTTGCACAATGCGGTGCATAACAATGTTAAACAATACAAAACGGGCCAAGCAAAGGTAAGTCGGCGTTATTGTTCGTAGCAACTTAATTACCTGGCATTATCAAGCACAATGTAGAGAACTCTTGGGCGCCGCTTTTGTATTTCACCGCTAGAGACTGTTTAAAAAGGAGGGCAGGCGCACTGAAGGACTCATTGCAGAGAGAGTCACCGTTGCAAGATGTTCTCGAGTGCGAACGCTGTCCTGCTACAAGCTGCAATGTCGGGGTATGACGAGAGAAAACCCCGCAGACATCGGCGGAAGAACCGTAGCAGCAACAAGACCACAGCGCACCAAGCGGCGAAAGGTTGCACTGCTGTTGGGGAAGTCTCTGTGAAGAAGAATTTGACAAAGGACTTGGCTGATGCCATGGAGGGCTGCGAAAACTCTGGGGGACGTCCAAATGTCTTCCTACAAGCAGTGGAGAATGCCCTAAAGGTGTGGTACATGTATTATGGTTTGAATTGCTTATGAGTATGTGTGTCTGTATCATAAGCAAAGCTGTATATTGTAACCTCTTTGCGATTGTCAGCATCTATAGGTTTGGCTACTTTCGGATGAGCTACATTAACGACGTTGTTTTGTGCCTGCTTAGGTCTTCAAGAGAGCTGGCCATTGTAATACGCAAGGACAGAATTCGAAAGGGGATCGCAGACATCCAACCTTGTGATGAAAGGATCTCCTGAATTTCAAGTAACACAAGATAACAGAACATCCATTCCAGGGCAGTCCATTTATAAAAAGAGACACTGGATTAAAGTTGGGAGGAGGGTGTTACTGTTATTATTAGTTTCTAACAGATAATAATTTTAGGAAGTAAAGGTACGGTAAAGTTCTCATCAATTGATGTACAAGATGTAAAACTTGTGTAACATGGTCCTTTATTACAATGTTGTTTTCCACAGCCCTCAAATACTACTACATAAAAAGTGTACTCCAAAGGCATAGTATTAATTTGGTCCCTATCATATAGTACAACCACTGCTTCCATAGTACATTTGTATGTAAAAGTCAAAAAGTCTATAGATAAAAGTCAGACTACATATTCAGTACCCTGTCTTGTTGTCAGTGACATGTCATCATGGTGATATAAAAGTTCATCTAGAAAACACTACATACATTGATTTGGCAGAGTGGATAGTTGGACCTAAATACTTTTCAATGTACATTACAGGTAGATATTGATACTTTTACAGAAAACATGGAAAAGACAGTCAATTAAGACAGTTATTAATTAGTTACGGTTTTATCATTGTCATTTCTGTATACCAGTAGTTTTGAGCAACAGTTTTCTTCCAGTCTGTTTTACATAGTAAAAATAATTAAAACTGTCATTACACATCAATATACCAGTATATATCACACTCTTGGTTACTAGTATCTCACTTTGCATCTATTCTGGGTAAAAATAATAAAAGACAAAGCGTAATTGCAGACCTATCTTAAAAAGCATGTCAACAGAATGTACTGTGCCTGCACAAAACCTGGATTTTTACATTTTCGCTGGATATTTGGTCAATGTTGTATCAGGATTTAGCTCATTGCAGATGATATCTTTTCCACAACACTTGAAAACTAAAGATACACAATACAAATGTACTACATGTAGATAGTTTGTGCGGGTGCAGTGCATTCTGCCGACATGCTGTTTTATAACATGTTTTATAACAGTGAAACTTAAAGCTAAGCTACATTATTAGCAAACTACATGGCACCATGGGAAAGCTATGCAAAGTATATAATTTTATAGAGAACAATAACAAAAATAACATGGTTGTTGACATTACCACAATTCATCTTTGGTTGGTTTCCATATTTTCCAAGCAGATCTTCTGGTAACTCACAGTCTGGCAAATGGATACTGCCTGGCCAATGTGAAAGTCAGTCTTTGCAGCCACCAAAAGATTTGCTTGAAGATTAGGTTTCCTGTCTGACCCAAGCAAAAACCTGCCAACCCTAGCCTTTGCCAAAAAATTTGGACAACAGATTATTAAAAGTCTTCTTACAGACCCTGTATTTCTAAGATTTTGTCTAAGTGGATGCGCCCTGTGGTGTAGGGAACAATTCTTCACACAGTTCTGGACACTTGTTTCTCATATCATCCCTGATAGCGGTCATCTTTACTCCCTGTTCTACGTTTTGACCATGCGGACGGTACCCACGAGCATGCATGACCACAAGGTTTCCTTCCTTGTCAAAGCCAGGGGCACCGGAGGACCCATGGCCCATCACAGAACAGTAGGTTACCCTACGCTGGTCGATTAGCTGGGAGAAGTCTCCCGTAGGCTGAGGGTTGTGCTTCAGATACACCCCTATATCTGGGTGTGGATAGGGGCAGCTTGGGTCCATGACTTTGGGGTCCCCGCCTGGGTGCCCAACCAAAGTGATGGTACCCGAATGCTTTACATCACAAACCAGGGGACCAAGCGCCGGCAGCATTGTCTGAACTTCGGCCATTTGGCCATCTGGAATTGAGAATTCAAGCACGCAGTAGTCAAGATCACTGATATCACTGTGCCAAGGAACCTCTTTTTGAATCAGGAATCTTATTTGCTCAAAGGGACTTAAAGGGTCTTCAAAGAAGTTGAACTCCACAAAGGCCTTCCCTGGATTTTCTGACAGATATTTGATAGTTGAATCAAGAACATGCTTACAAGTCATCACATACTTTGTGCCAACCCGAAAACATGTTCCACATACAATGATAGACAGGTGACCATTGGATTCTACTTCCACAAAGACAACCCCAACAGACTTTGCAGCTGGTAGTAGCTTTTGCAGGAGAAGAATAGTGACTGGACCAAACTTCTGGCAGCTAACAGGGGCAGCATGTTCATAGTTACCCTGAGCTGAACCAGTGTCCGTACCCTCCTCATTAGCTATGACAGCTGAAATGTCTTGATACAGCCTCTCAACTTCTTTGCTTATTCTGTAACCTCTATCGAACAATGTCTTCAGAAGATCCATGTTACGTCTGTTGTATCCACTGCGCTTGATGTCGTGTGCACCTTGAGTGGCGCTGCGTGAGATGGCTTTAAGCAGCCTACACATCGATACCATAACAGGATCCCTCAAACGTACACCCCACGCTGCACCTGCCACCTGTTCCTCAGAATTCTCATCTGAGACACCCTGTTGACATGGGAAAAAACAACCAAAAGTTTAGCCTTTGTTCTGAATAATGAAATAGATGTGAATGATATCTGGGCACCTATCTCTCTGTTCAATATATATGCAAATGCAATTTCTTCCATGAGAATTCTATTTTCATTGCCTTGTCTTTACTAAAGACTAAAGACAACAACATACCGGCATTTGAAAATTCCTTTTCATTATTCACTGTTTGGTATACCCTTACACTTACAGTATTCAAAGCAAGATCATTAATATATATGCTCTAGCTATAGTGGCTCCATGGTGAAAAAGTTTGACACTGACCTTGCTCTGGGTACAAGACAACTAAACATTCACTCTATATCTAGCTAGCTTCCACAAAATTGATTTGTGATATGACTATTATGATTTTGAATGAATGAATTTCTTTATTTATACCCAAAAAGACAGGCACACAAAAATACTAGTAGTACAATGTACATGACATATGAATACCTCAGAGGATTCCTGGCTAAACTTAAGCTGGTCCTCAGATGATTCCTGGCTGAACTTCTCCTCTTCTTGCCACTCCATCTCTCCAAGACTGTGGTCCACTGCAGGGACAGAAGCTGGCTGTGGAGTGGGATCCATCTCTGCTGTTGTTGCCAAATGTTGGATGATCTTGGATAATTCTGACCAACAAAAATCTTATAATTTACAAATTATATCTCTATTATAAAGATTCCATAAACTACACATCCAGATCTACTACCATCAACGAGCACAAGCCCGTTTCTTCGCGAGAATCGCGGCTACAAAGTTCTTTATTACCACGAAAATAAAACGCAAAATGCTGATATCATCATATTCTCAAACGGGACAAAATGGCGGATTATCAAGAAAAGCGTCCCCCGCCCCCGCCCCCGCACCACATTCTAGAGAAAAATAATTTCTTACCCACACAAAATCATCTATATTTGGACTATAGATAGAAAATAAATGTTCAGAATATCTTACCGGCCTAGTTTCAAGTTGCCAGTCGATGTTTCGCCGGTTTTCTGACCTTTTCTGAGTTGTTTTTGTTGGAGCAAGGTCCTCCAAGGCTGGACGCGACGCTAGCCTACTTTCACTTTTCGCGGGTTGTTTGCAAATGACCCCCTGCATCGTTGGATTGGGTCGTTATTGACCAATCAACGCCGAGGACGTCTTAATCATGCTATACCCAGAGTGTCCGCTAGATGACGCTGTTGTATATGCTAAAGAACTGCATTGGTTTAGAGATTAATACAAACCATGGTGTGGTTACTCGAGTTAGTGAATTTCAAAGATAGGGAAAAGGAAGAGAAGGACGTCCCGCCTTTAAAATTTTGTCGCCAACTACATTGCCAATGTCTTGTTCAACATTAGTTAGAGTTTGTCCAAAGTATCAGCGTCTGCTTCTCTACAAACGATCGCTGGAGAAGCAGTAAGTACTTGGGGCGAGTACTTGGTACTTGCTATAACTTAATAAGTAAGTTTTTTTTCTTATTATATGAATACTACTTCAATGCAATCAGTATCTTATCGCACCATGTGAGTTTCGATCCTTAGTAATACTAAAAGCGTAGTAGCCTTAGAAAACGAATGAATGGTGTTATTGGTACCACGCCCGGAGTACCAGTAACGTCCCATCAATGTATCGTAACAATAGTTGTCGCGAGTTGTAGATTTGTCAAATTGTTTTCTTATGAGTCATATTATAGTATGTCATTTTATAATACCATGTTTTCAATCAATAATTGGCCTTTTTTTACATTAATTTGTTTCCGGAAGACACTGTTAATGAGAAATATCACCTCTAATTGTTTTAGCGGCTTGTTTAGACTTTGATTGGAACAACCAAATCACTTTTGACAGGACGGTTTGTTTATAAAAGGGGTTGGGTCATCCGATACGACCCTGTCCCTCCCCATCACAGATATTGTAACAGTCCATCTAGGGACTGAGCATTAACTCTCTCACTTAACAAGGGGAAACACAAGGAACCAAATTTACAGCCCAAAAGTATATTTTGTAACTTACATAATCTATATATAAATAATTCTTACATTCAAGTATTCAGTTTGGCTAGTTTTGGGAAGATCTAGGAGCGTTTGATCAGTCCCATCATCTTACCCGAGAGCATTAACGTATTGTCCCCAATTTTCAAGCGAAGTTACGTTGGGAGGGGAGCGTTCAGCTTGGTGGCAGCTGAGTGCGAAGTTTCACCTCAACAAGAGCGATTCTTCAACTTTTACCCAGTTTTAAGTCTCCCCGCTTGTTCCCAAGCGTGACCAAGGAAACCTTGAGGAATACCAGAACCATCTTGGAACTTGTGCTTGAGGAATTTTGCCCCGGGCGACCCAGGAAAGCTGGGCAGGAAAATCTGAAAATCTCTCCGAGTCCAACCCCGCTGTGCGCCGTCAACGCGTGAGCGAGTTTGGCCCTGACCCAGCCATAGATAGGGATACAACTCTTGCTTCTGACAGCTCCTAAGTGCCGCGTGGACTACCAGGAATTCACGAACGTCCACGGACAAGATTCGTCTGGAATCTACCTGCAGAAAATATGCCTTGAATGTCGGTAACGTGCGGGTGAGTCAGCAACGGAAAAGTTTTTGTGTTTTCCGACAGGGTGCAAATTTATGAATGATCCCAGCTGAAATCCTCTGGATTACTCGACGCACTGGCTTATCTCTCGCGTGCTTTAGGAAGTACTTCAGCGCCAAATCTGCCTTCCGATCTGATAGTCTACTTGTTGGGGAGGATTTTGGAGTCCTAAGGGCGACCGGGGACCGGGAGTTTGTGTAAGCTCGGAGTGGGAATCGCGCTTTTGTTTTGATACGCGCCCGACGTCGGTCTATCTCGGCAAACTGCGACGAGCCTTGGAAAAACCATGGAGTGACACACGTCAGAAAGGTTTGCTCGTCTTTCAGTTCTCCTTTGTAAGAGCTTGAAACAAGATCTAAAAGTCTAAAGGAAGCCATATAGATGTCCTTGCGATCACCAGGAAGTTGTTGGGTTGTGTATTTGTTCCGAAATCACAGGAAGTTGCGAGCTGCTTTTCAGCGGTTGGCGTTTCTTTGTGAGTTTGAAGTGGGAGGGGGGCGATGTTTCACGAGTCGATTTTGAGACCAGAAAACGCTCACCATTCAAGTAAACAGCACTATGCTGTAGATATTATGTTATATACGTTTCGCTAAGAAGTTGAGGTAACGATTTATGTTGTTGATGAGGTTGATCGTTGTGTTTTAAACGCCCCAACAGCCCAGCGATGAAGGTGACAGTATGTTTCGGGCACACTCGCGTCGTGGTTCCGTGCGGAAACGGCGAGCTCCCGGTCAGACAACTCATCGAGAAAGCCGCCGACAGATATCGCAAGGCCATCGGAAAGGTGGGTTGTCTGCTTCTCCCTTTTATTTTCAAACCCACTGACTCTACCTGTGGAATTTGGCGTGGAATATTCGGTTGAGGGGAAGATCGCATTTCAAGCGTGACAGCTTGGGTACCTCAGATTTTGTTGACCTCTGTGCCTTAACAACATTCAAGATGGCGGCATTTGAGTTGATTTCGTAAACAGAAAATCCCCCCGAATCACAAAAATACACGATTTTCCCCAACTTTATACAAAATGGAATCTTGTTCTCTATATGTTATACAATTTTTGCAGCAGAAAAAAAATTAGCAACCCATCAAATGCGCCATTTTAGAAGGAAGTTTCTTCACACATATTGCAAAATAAATGTCACATGTGTGACAACATCTAGGAATCAGGATAGGTAACATCTTCTGAATTCTTGTTCCACCAAGCATCACAACAATTTTACCTGTCTTCCTGTTGAGAAAAATCCGCTTGTTTATAGAGATTATGTCTGCAGGTCACAATTTGAATAGAATTCCTGGTGTTCAATCAGGTTTTTAGTGGCAGTATAATGTATGTGGATTTACATACCTACATGGAAGAGTTTTCACTATTAACAGAAGTACTAATGTTACACGTTTTAAAGCTGAAGATAGGACTGGATACAAAAGAGACATAAGTTTAATAGTTTATTTACCTCCATGGTTGCACAGCAGTGTTGGGAGATAACACGAAGAATCCAATGCAATTTCAGGACAGCAAAAAAAATATTCTGGATGAGGAAAATATCTGTCTGACATATTTTTGCCTCATAGATTATCAGTATGCTGTGGAACAGAGTCGATTCAACTTACATGTACTACATACAAAACTGATTAGGAAATTGACTGCAAAAATTCTGTTTTATTGCCTGAAATTTCTTTGGGCACTTAGCTTTAAAACAACTATCTTTTGCTACAAGAAAGTAGGAATTGAATCCCAAGAAGTGGAAAGACTTGTTCTCTGTGAGGGGGCATAACTAAGTCATTAGTATACGTCCTTTCTAATTGCAAATGAAAACATCTGGTTTAGATAAGATTATTAATCTGTTTTTCTTGTATGTTTGTGCAAAAAATCACATCAACATCCCGGATGACTCAAAGTAAACAGATTAAAAATAAAACACATGTTTATTCAGTAGGTGGGTTCTTGGAAACCCATTGTCTTATACAATTGCCCCCTTTCTGCATGTGCAAGTAGTAGAAAAACACAAAAGAAGAACTGAAAGAGACAATAGACAAAGAAAGAACAAAGTAGACAGGATGTGCTGTTCATTTGTAAATCAAGAATAACAGACTTGTTGTTTTTCATTTATTGCACAATTATGTCAACTACTCATAGGCCATAAGGGCAATGTGTTCTTGATCCACTGTGTCTAAGGCACGGTTTTGGAAGACAGAGCCCTCCCTATCCTTCCACAGTCCTCCCGAAGGCCACAACTGCTAGCCAGGAATGCAAGGAATCGAACCGATAACCTCTCGATCTTGTGTCCTCCAGCCTAGACACGTCGCCATTCAAGTTATGCCACCTGGAATGATGGTACCACCTGGTAAAAAAAAACTCTGTAACCAAGCTTAATATGGGGACTATCACAGACGTGCAGAAAAGCTTGCAAATTTGGATATCATATTATGTTTTGATTTCATTTCTTACTGGGGCTGCCATTCTAATGAAAATGAGATTACCGTAATAAAATTTGCATCACAGAATACTATTAATGACAGAGCATATCAGAAAGTGCTTTTCTTCCTAGGTTAGGTATGAAAGTTTCATTGAAACCTTAGGTGTCCCCCAGGGAAGTGTAATGGTATACGTACATGTATTGGGTAACCACTAACATGATTTTATAGTACATTGACCATTAATAGCCACTAATAATAACACTTTTGCTTGTGTGTGTGCTCAATTTGATAAGTATCAGGCCCAATTTGAGAGTAGGAACAATTCTTATAACTATAATAAAGTTATAAGGAAAATTTATTCATTTGGAAAAAAATTACACTTATTACGTGGCTGTTTCCCTCAACTTCAAGGAGGCTCTTTTATAATCTCCTTGAAGATTGATTCTTGGATCCTTTGTTATTTGGGTGATTGATTCAAGGGTAAGCCTAGCCCTAAATGCAAATAAATACATATGAGTCAGGGATATCCTGACTGAGTCATACATGTTATTAGTGCTTTGATCTTGGCACCTCCTACATATTCATGACTGAAATCCAAGTATAGCTGTGGGAAATGCCTTGTGGTTTCTACTATCACAACATTTCTGCGACGTTAGTCAGACTTGCAGTCAAAGAATTTGCAAAGTAGGTCAAATGTGACACAGTGCTATGGTATGTTTGGATCATAGCAAAGTCATTTGCATGACAATACATTTTTTCAAATGAAGGCCAACGACCTGATATTGTTTTATTGTTGCTCAGCTTATGTGCAATGAGAAAACAGTAAGATTTGAGTGAGAATATCATTATGGCTTCACCACACCACTAATGACTAGTACACAGTGACTACAAATGTACATGTACTGGTATTTCGGACAATCTCCTAGTCCTATACTTTTGCGATGAACAGTTTTGCCCCCCCCCCAAGTTAAAACAGTACTATGGCAATGAATATGACCTCAGGTAACCCCATCTTTCAGGAAAAATGGACTACATCAAATGATATTTAATATCCAAAGTGGCTGAATGGCCTGGGGACAAGCTATGACCAGTAATGTGTTGTTATCTACTCAAGGCATCAGTGGGTTAGCCACTCTCACCAAGTCATAAATCTCATACGAAGGGTCTATATGATATTGGCTTATGACGTCAATGCTTGTGTGATAAATTCAGCCATCAGATATGCTGACAAGTGCTGCGGTTCTTCCTTGTACAAGGCCATGTTGAATACAGGAAACAACTTGTCTTGTGCAGGTAATTTTTAATGTTACCTGCGGACGGGGGGGGGCAGGATTTCAAGTCCTGCATTTACACAACTGTTTGAACTTTTTACTCTCCAAGCAGAGGTTGTGGGGGAATGATCATTACCTTTTTATATATGGCCGTTTTTTTTGTCCTGACCCCCACCGGTGGTCGCGGACCTTCTCTGGCTAATGGATACTGCCTGGCCAATTTGATACTGTCTTTTTGCAGAGGGATCTGCTTGGAGATTATGAACTTTTCCCCTGTGGTACCCTGATGATACCCCTGAGTTCCCACCTTGTCCTTGTCCTTGTCCTTGTCCTAACCTGTTTCACATCACCTAAACTTCCCTGTACAGGCCTGAGAGATCCTGTTCCCAGTTGTAGTATTTGGTTCATGTCTAAACACAACTGGGGAGGATAGAAAAACAACTGCACTTAAACTGTGGCAGAGAGAAAACAGCCCTGTGCTGATAGACTGACAGACATCTTGCAAAATGGACAGAAAGTAGCATCCTTTTACCCTGTTGCCAGATGCACCATTTGTTTTGAGACAATCTGGTATCAAGGTAAGGTGAAGTATAGCTTTTGTATAACTGGTGTTTGATATACATGCACTACAAAGATGTCAAAATATCATATACAGGATATGATGTTTTACTGTCTTTTATTCAAATGATAGATATTGAATGAACAATTGTATGGTTGTATCACAGTACCTCAAATCATATTCTCACTTTGTATATTTTACTATCAGTAGAAATCAATACTAGAATATGTCCACTCAAACTAGAAATAAGTTAAGTTTGTACTTCAGTTTGTTTTGCAGTACATATTGCCACCCAGGTTACCTAACCTTTTCTTACATCTGAAAAATAAACAGACAACATCCCATTGGCCCTCTCTATTGGCTGACCAACTTGACGATATTTATTTTTGTACAGTCAAAAGTTGGCCCATGAGAATGTTTGCATTCCTTTTGAGGTCCCAGGCCATGTATAGTTTACATCTTCAACATGTTTGTTTAGAGTCTAAAAGGCATATTTATCAAACGGTCATTTTAGTTTCTGTACAGAATCTTCATTTTGCTATAATGCCCTCGTCATTTAAGTGTTGTAACCCTATCTACTGGCATGTATTGCATTATAGATTTAGTGAAATGTAATTTTGTTATCGTCAAGTGAGTAGTATCTTCTGTTCATCTTTCTGCAAATCAATCAATTTTATGACTATTTTATGATTTATTAAAATCTATTCTCCACATGTGACTGTCTGGAGTAATTGTGGAGTCTCCCCCCCCCCCAAGTTAACATGTCAGCAGAACGCACTGCACCTGCGAGAAAGCCGTTATGTATTGTGCATAGCACTTCAGCAGAATGTCTCGTAGTCGCGTATATAAGGTTGACATGATCCCGTCTGTAGTTTCCGAATGTTATGCCAAAAAATATATTTTCTGCAACAGGCAAAATTCTGATGCAACGTTGACCTAACACCCAACGAATTACCGTGAAAAATCAGGGTTTTGCGCAGGGGCAGTGCAGTACACTGCCGAAAAATATGTTTTCTGCAACAGGCAAAATTCTGATGCAACGTTGACCAAACATCCAATGAAAAAACTGTGAAAATCAGGGTTTTGCGCAGGCAAAGTGCAGTACGTTCTGCCAAGGTGCTCCCAAACTTCACCCTGAGCCCAGGGCCAGATCCCTGGAGGTTTTGCCATAAGGAAGCCATCAGTAGTTAGCTAATGACAAGTCCCTGTGCCACACTCTATAACACAGACCAGGTGGTGTGGGCTGGGCCTGCTGATTAGGGAGGGGTCACTTCTGCTCTGCTCTGGGGGTCAAAAAAGGGAAAGGGATGGCTTTTTTGTTAATCTACCAAGGCATGTTCCACCTAGAAATTGGTAGAATTTTTTTCAAGGAGACTTTTTAATAGAAGACATTTATATATGAAGGGAAAGGATATGGGACTTCTCTTAATTTGAAATTTCTAAGAAACAAACCAAAGTTATGGAAATAGATGTGAGAGGAAAATGATAAAATTGTAAAAAAATATCCCCCTCCTTCCAAATGAAAATTGAATAGCCCAAATT